CAGTTAAGCGGCTATCCTCGAAAGCGTAAAGTAAATGGACGTCGTGTTTACGCCCTTCCTGGAAAGATTGCGCCAATGTATTTCAGGCAAGAGCCCGGCAACATGAAAAATTGTGACTGCGAACTCCTTCGTACCGTGCTCGAAACCATGCGTCGACAATGCCGCCAACACCCCCCCCTCCCCCGATGACGCGATTGATCTCGGGTTCTGTTTTCATGTATCACGTGTTGATTCAAGACTCTGCTTGCAAAGCGGGCTCTGTGGAATTATTGGAATCCTACAGCAAAAAAGAAAGCCCGCTTTTTGCAGCCGCATTGTGGTGACAACGGAACAAGAGCTCCAGATGGATCTGCGCGCGAGAAATTCGCAGATCGGCTTAGGGCCAACCATCGTGCTTCCGACTTTGCCAAGTGACACCGAAGAAAAGTGCGCTAAGTGTCAGTGACGGGGTTCCCCTGCCATATCTGTCTATGACGCTCAAAGCCGTGGAGTCCTCCAGATTCGGAGCATGGACGGCAAAGGCCTTGCGAGGGTTGGTCTTCATCTGAGCCTGCACAGACCAAACCAATGGTACTCAGCTGCTTTCAGATCGCGCAACAAGAACCGAACCCTGACAGAAGTTGCCCTATGTTGCCCTAGTGGCCACCATAGTCAAATCTGCACTTGAGCTTGTATTGAACTAGTGTGGAACATGCGCTTGCGCACAGCGAAAGCACTGTACAACAGCCATTGAAACATTTAAATGAGTGATGCCAGCACTGTGAGCTTTTGAGTTCCGCCTTTTCCTCTTGCCTGAGTTGCTCAGGATGTCAGGCTGCCAGTGAGGCTCTCTGTCTGCCAGTGTTGCACAGTGGTGCCAAGCCTTCTTCAGTCAAGTTGCACAATCTTAGCCCACTCTTGTGTGAGCCTCTTTCTTCTTTCCACCTGTATTCTTCATTCCGCATAGGGAGTGCACACAGCCGAGCATAGCCATCATGTGACGTCGTCAGCATAGCAAGAGGGTGCCTGATCATCGAAGGTTAGGTCACCTGTCTGTAGACAATGCCACCGAGCACCGGTGCTGAGTTTCCAAGACACTGCATACACCTGCCCCAAAGCGAGTTTCGGTCGGTTTGAGCTTCCCGCGCAGCTTGCCATCCCGTGGGTCGTAGAGGCTGAACTCCTACACAAACATAGAGAGTTTGCTCACAAGATAATTGATCAAACTTAGGAAATACCGGGTTTGGAGGTGGTCGGCTGAAAAATGTGCAGAACGTTCTAAGGCTGCTAGAATATGTGATCTCGAGACTTATCGGTTTCTTGACTCCTCCTGGCTCGCATTTGTGTTCACAGACGCATCTACTCCCAACATCCGAACCCCAGCCCCCCATCCCCACGGTTGATGTTTTTTTTCCTTCTGGTGTTTTTCTCTTCTTTGGCCTTACAGGGGAGCAGAGGACCAGGGACGGGGCACCAAACTGACCGAGGGACCTGAGCCCCCGCCAACCTTAGGGAAAAAATGGGAACCCAATCCCCGCCACTTACATGAAACATAGACAATGCGAGTTTGTGTTCATACACAGTGATTAATATTTACTAAGCTGAGTTTGGCTCATTTACCTGTCAACGGCAACCCACTCATTGGCCTGCCTACCTTGCTTTAGCACTGATTATCAAAAGTCTTTGACAACCTGCATCTCTGGACCACGAGTGGGTCAAAGGGAGGTTTTGAAAGGGATAGGGATGCGGTGTGCGCGGGGGGGGACCAGGGACGGGTTTCCAAACCTGCGCAACGGCGGCAAAACAAACCAAGAACCACCCTCCCCCCAGCAAACCCTCAGTCCAACCACCCACCCGCCCCCTCCCCCGCCCCAACCCACACCCACCCGCTCCAAAATCGAAGCACCGAATCTGTTGAACCAAGCGTGTTCTGGAGGGGGGGGACCCTACTGCACTGTGATCAATTCTACAAAACCTGTTCGTGGTCTCCTCGATTCGTCGCTGATCCTCCAAGGACACTTCGCCCTGCAGCCAAGCGCACCGACAAGACACAATGATGTGTAGCTGCCGGAAGCAGCACGCTGATTGCGTGAGACTTAGAGTCGCTAGAGCCGATGGCCAGCAGCGCGCCTGGAATATGGAGTGTGCCTCACCACCTGACACATGGGCACACTTCAGAATGCCCCGCCGCAACAAAGAAAACAACAAGAAGGGTGACTTGCTGTGACGTGTCCGGCCTGCCCTGATGTGCACATCCTCCTCCACGCAGCTCTCTTGCATATACGTGCATCGTCTAAGTGACAGAGAGTTGAAATTTGAGGACTCCTAAACGGGCCGGGCAGCGGCCCCGAGAGCGAAGCAGACTCTAGCTGCTCCTAGGTGCCTGCCTGTGCTTGAACCTAAACCGGAGCCAAGGGCCCCGAATACATACATATAATTACATATACATACATGCAAGCGCGAAAGCGGCTCCTCTTCCTCCTCCTCTTCGGGAGCCATTTCTGTCAGCGGAGGCTCTGCCTCGATGGGTTGGACGGGAAGGACATACGCGACATATCCTGTAATTTCAAGCTCTGGAAATCCCAATTGGACGTGAGATCCTGCTAGAGAAGCTCAACGAGTGGTGCTGCATGCAAAGACTCGTTTGACTGCAAGTTATATGGATCAATAAATTCATAGTCCGATGCGCACCGTTGCTGTTAACCATCTTCTGACATCTTCTGGACCCACATGTAGCCGCTGATTGGGACTGCTGCCAGTGCTGGTGGTGGCGGCGGCGGAGCCTGAGAAACATGAACCTCCCTGGTCACTGTTGATCAGATGGCCTTCAAGTTACAGTAAAGCATCACTCCAAAACTGCGATGCCCCGCCCCTGCCTCCTCGGAGCTTGCCTGCAGGATTTACAGCTGAAAACAGCTGCATTCAGCTGCTGGCTGTCAAGGGTTGTTACATTGTTCAAGGCAAGTGATCACAGGGCTTCTGGTTGCACGTCTTGCAAGTAACCCTCAATGATGGCCTTGGCCTGTTGAAGCTGCCGACTTTTCAGATTCCAGGCATTCTGGATGGACTCCTCGATGGCCACGAAGGCCCTCCTTTGTGAAAGACTCTCTACAGAAGCAGCATGGACACAACTGCGGTACCTGAATCTCCAAAGTGCTTGCTGTGCAGGCCCCAAATGGTGACTGGTTAGTTACATTACATCGAGGCCGAAAACACTGCGCAAAAACAGCTTCAAGGGCAGGTGGCGATCGCTGCGCATCCAGACGAAGCTTCTCCGATGAAACCTGCGCGTCCGACAACGTTCAACAGCTTGCTTGCGACTGCGAGGCTTGAAACCATCCTAGTAGCACTCGAGATGGATTGCTGCTGCAGTGCACTTGCTGTCTTGGGCGTGCTCCCAGTAGGATGGAGGAGTATCATTTGTGATTTCGTGAGCCAAGCCAAGGCAACTTCCATATCGGATGTTGCATCATGTTGCATCAAGTTACATCTGTTCGGGCATGTCGTGCAGCACTGCTTCTGGCAAGCAACAGGGGTCACCTAATTCTTGTGGCGGAGCTCTGCTGAGTGACTGGTGGCTGTAGTGTTTGTGACATTGCTCTCTCTGATGGGATGCACATGGGTACATCTTTTACCTTCTCAAGATTCTCAAGAGCTGGATTCTTTGCAAAAGCTCCCATCGACTCCAAAATGCTGTGGATTCGCACAGGCCCCAACTCTACGCGCACTGCTGCCATGATGCTAGCAAGCTGTGCTGGAAGGTGTTCCTCGGATGAGAAAGGGGGGGAGCGGGGGGGGGGGGTTGTCATTTGCACTACCCTACCCACTGCTCGGACTTCGCTCGACCTGCTCGTTGCATGCAGAGATCGTCGCTTCTGCAGAGGTTGGGAATTTGGCCAGTCGCAATGCTGAGGCCATGCCATCATCGGGGACCTGACTTAAACCCCAATTGATCCATACGTGTATGTTCCTGTATATACATATATACATTATACGAATATACATATGCGCATATACACCTATGTACACACATATACATATACATATTTATATATGTATGTATACATTTTCTGCTCGCGCCCGCATGAGGAACTTGAATCACAAGCCGCGGGGAACCAGAACATGAAAGGGCAAGGGTGGATCATGGGGGGGTGACCATATACATATATATATATATGTATATATATAGACATATATGTATATACACGTATATACACATATATAAACACATACACACACATATACACATATAATATACATAAAAACATATATACACAACGGCGTCTCATATCCGTCATATATACATACGTATATATAATCAGATTGATCGGTGACTCCACCGGGAGCCCCGCTGTCATCGCCATGGCTGCGTAAGGCCTGAGGTCCGCCTGAGCCCCTCAACTGATGTCAGAGTTAGTTACAGTTAGTTCAGTTCACAGACTCCGCCTGATTCCAACCGCATCTGCACACCAAACTCACGCGTGAAACATGGATGTTGGTGCTTGAAATTACTGAGCCGCAAGGACTGCGATTAGTCGCCACAAGCGACAGGCGAATGCAACATCTAAAGCAGTGGGCAGCTTGCATTGTGAGATGCCATTGTTGCGAACGGCCCCGCATTTCGGAATGGTTTTGTGCTTCTTCTTGGGAGTTGTGTTTTGTTTTTGGTCCCTTGCCAAGGATAGCTGGCATGTTCACGAACAGAGGGATTCACTCGTGGGATATTGATTAAGGGTCTCGGAGTTCTGTACAGGGATTCGAAGAATAGGTGTTTTGGGTTTAGGGAGTTTAGGGCTATAGTAGGCTATTAAGGGATTTTTTGGCTTAGGGATTTGGAAGTTTTTGGTTTTGGCAAATGACGTGGGAAGAAAACAACCCGCATGACAGTGGATGAGAAGAAAAGGCGGAAGGGCTTGGACCGGGATTCAAAACAAGAAACAAGTAAAACTTCCGGAAAAGCAAAAAAGCGAGCCCTCCGCTGCGAACTGCAGGCTTCATGACCCAGAATCTGTGGCGGCGACCGATGTTGACAATGCCTGCTGGACAGTCTCACCTTCAACTTAAATCGCGGGCCACTATTTCTTGAAGAGGTGCGGACTGCAACACAATGCAGAATGCAGACTCCTGTTCACTCCTGCACTGGTATACCCACCCGGCTTGGTGCGATGACTGAACCTCAATGCTGTCCGATCCTCCAATGTCTTACCTTTCGCATTCGGTAGCCTCAGGAGCGCTCAACTGATCGAGCCGTGCCTTTTTCAGGTCTTGGTCGCCGGCTCTTGGCGAGACTGACCTGCACTGCTCCCCACATGCAACAACTTTTGGCTGGGTTCCCCCGGACCGCCTGCCTCGTATTCGGCAAAATCAATAACATCGACCTCGCTGGTCTTGGTCGGATCCGAAACATGAAGGCAACGACATGCTGCAACCAGGGCTGTGGCGGCCGATCGGCTTTTCTTTCGAGGGGGTGCCTTGCAATCACACCACTGAAGCGACTGATGCTCGGCTCTTTCAACCTTCTCAATCAATTTAGCCCCTCTCCAATCCACTAGGTCACTGAGCAGAGGGGCTGCAGAGTGTCTCAAGAACTCCCTGAAACTACCCGCCCATGCTACCCTGACACACCATTCCAGACCCTCTGAATCGCAAGCAAGCATGCCTTTTGGAGGTTGCTTGCCTTCTTTTACCGGTACTTTCTTCTGTTGCCACATCCCGCCCATCAGAATAGCAGGAAGCAGCATTGGCAAGGGCGGCCAGGGCTATGACGATAGCTCCGGCAGCCAGTGAAGATGCTGCAGCTGCTGCCGAGCCGGCCTATAGCCCCGAGGCAAATTTACAGCACATATCAGCACATAAACTATACCATGCAAAACATGCCTCCTCACAGCAAGTTCCGGCCACTAGCAATTTCCGCGTTTATCTGCCATCTGTCTTGGAAGGGTTGACCCTGAGAGCAGGGCCTGCGCTGCATCTACCTGGTGAGCTGCATTCCCGCAAGATTCAGGAGCCCGGATGCATGACATGCAGGTGTCACCGTCCCAAGGCTCCAGCATTTCGGGGTGTGGTAGCCGGCGTCCCGCTTGGCGTGCCACTCGGGGTCGACGTCCAGTAGCTTGCGTCCTAAATGGTCCCAAGCTCTTACAACTTCACACAATCTACTCACATGACTTCATCCATCACTGGCGGCATCCCTCGAAGGATTCTTGTGCGTCACAGGCACTGAGTCTTAAACCGCTTGAATTCTTGCGACTCTAGCGTGGCTAAGCCAGGAGCACTTCGTGGCGTTAACTCCGTCTGGCTCTCCTGCGCAGTATTGGAGCATTGCACCAATGGGAAGCCGTCCACGTGATCGGTAGTGCTGCTACATTGTGCACTTGAGCTTCTATCAAAGCCAGCATATTTTTCCTGGGTTTGTAGAATAGTGGGATGGAGCATGGCAATACGACCGCAAGACGATGGCTGGTGCGTTTCTGAAAGATCGGAACTCTAGCCGTAGCCAGACCCGAGAAGAAGCAGAACTGTGACAGTGCGAGTAACACCGACAGCATGGGCGACACAGACGGAGCCCCACCCAAGTGGCGTACGATGCTGCATTCCCAACCCCCCCCCCCCCCCCCCCCCCACCCCCCTCACTGCAGCTGGTTTTTCTGATGTGTTCACGCTGGACCCGTTTCTCCCTGATGAATCATGGGGCGGGCTGTCCAAAGCGCTGATCGGCTTTGATAACCTAGATTAAATCTAGATAAATCTAGATAAACCTAGATAGATCTAGGTAGATCTAGATAGATCGATTTTGAAATCGGCGGTTTTCGCTCTGCGTCACTGATCCTTTAGCTCAAGGGCATCAGATGGAGCCTGTGACAATTCTCGTCCCCTTGCAATTTAGTGGAAGATTATAAGGCGCACTTAGGGTTTGTGGCTGCAGGCTTTCGGGCGGAAAGCCCACCACACCTCGTCTTCAAGGATTTACAGCTGCCAAATCCCGAAGGCCTCAACCCCTCCCTAGAGCCCTAAGCCCCAAAACGACAGACACGAAGCTATCACGCCGAAATTTCGACCTAACAAACCTCCAAACTTGCCTAACCACTAAACACTACAAAATGAGCTGATGGTATTGGCGTCTTCTGATGCATTAAGTTCAGGGAACAAGAGATGAGAGGTTAGACGAGGATATAGCTTAACATAGCTTTTGCACTTAAGGTTTTGCGCACGGACGTGACAAATCCACTGCTTCGATTTGTCGAATTCGGGTTGGCGCGCATGCGCCAACATTCGAAAGTCAAATGTTCGAGTTTTCGACAGATTGAATTTGTGCAAGAAGCGCAAGTGTTCCTGGAATGCTCAGGGCTTGGATTTGGTTAGCATGGAAACTTCCAAAGTATCCGCACAGGCCTGCCTCACCCATTTGCATCCGAAGGGTGGCCTGGTAAGATTCCCATCCTGCCGAAAAAGCGAAACTCGGGGCGGCACTTCACCAAAAGGACATAAGGTATGTAAGGAACCAAAAATGCCTTCAGTGCAGTCGGAGCAGTAGGTCCGTCGCCGCCATATCGTGCCTGCAACTGCGTTGCAAGTAGAAACCTAGTAGCGAATTCAACAAATGGATGGCGCAGCGAAACACAAAGCTGTGAGCTCGGATAGGAAGAGCTTAGATGAAGCCGTCGGAAAGATCCCCAAATGCAGACGGCAAGGGCCCCGGGCATGTCGATGTCGCAACCTCAAAGCCAATGTTCAACGTTTTGCAAGTCGCTGCAGAGATCTGCTTCGCTGTTGGAATCGGGGGCAGGGCAGCCCGGCATGCTAATTGCGTTTCGAGACCCGCGTCTAAACGGCTTTCGTTTGACACGAGGTACATCAGACCAGAAGCCATCCTCATACCCTGGAAAATCTGCAACAGTGCAACACAGTGAATGCCGTGCGCACACAATGTAACGTCCATCGCGTAGCGCATACAGCCCTTCTGCCAGCGTGGACCCCAAACAGCACAAGACCACCAAAGGCATTCCAAGAGCACGCGTCAGTCCCAAGAGCACGTGAAGAGGAGCACTCCAGAACTCTAAGAGCCTCTTCCAAATAGCACTCCCAGAGCTCTCAGGTATGTGAAGAGCTTCCAAGCCATCTAAGACTCTAAGACCGCCCAAGAGTGATGTCGAGCAGTCGAGACACCAAGAGCAACGACAGCTCTGCAGTTCTGCGTTTCGCGACAAGGATGCTACAAAAGCAACGACAGTCCTCGCAAGACCCAGACCCTCAAATCCATGACAGCTTTGCACTTCGCGAGGAGCATGAGCACAGGGACAGACGAAAACGCCAAAGTCCAACTACAGTTCTGCACTTCAAGAGGTGCATGTGCACGGGAACAAAAGGCAGAGTACCATTTTGCGACAAAGAGACTACACAAGCGACGGCGGGTCTGCACTTGACGAAGAGAATTCGCAGGGAACCGAGCGAAAGGCGCCATTTGCAACACCACGAAATGCCAATCCGAACCCGTCCAACAGCCCAAAACGCTGATGCAAGCCTCATTTCGGGAGCTCCCAAGAACTCTGCGCTTCTGCCCCGGCCGGCAAACCCTAAACCCCTTTTTTGCTTAACATTGGAGCCCGTGTTGGTCTGCTTGGGGAAGTCTGCACTGTTTTTCAGACCATTACCATCCACTACCATCTCAAACTTGGAGATGGGCTTTTGGAAAGGGAAGTCTTCGAGCTCCGGCCTTTCCCCGCCATCACCCGGTCAAGACTCCAATCAAGACAGAAACTTGCCTTAAAACCATCCAAAACCGCAATCCAAGCCGCCCAGTCCCAGCAGTGGCTGCAGCGCGACAACTCGGGATGTCTTTCCTGCAGCGGGAACTACATCAACTACATGGCCTGTCTTCTTGGAGGTAAAAACTGACGCCTCTTCAGCGAAGCGAGGAGGGGTTTTGGGACTACCTTCCCTTGTTCTTTAAACCGCTCGGGTCGCTTGTGGAGAAACAAAGAACTTCACATCCCTCACCTGGGGCAACCTGTCGTGGCTTATATTCGCCTCGGCTTCCTGCCGAGAAGCGTCTAGAACAAGCAGACCCGGGGTCCTCCTTCACCCTAAGCCAACCCTTCCCCCCAGGCAAAATTTTCTGACGCCCCGGCCCAGTGGGACCCCCCTCGATGGCTTGGGGCAGCTGCAAACCGATGCCGTGGGGGGGTCCCGCCTGTCGGCGGCTCCTAGACAGAGGCGCTCCAACAAGCACGAACTTTTGGGACCCCCTGAAACCTGCCTGAAACCCCTTGAGACCCCTGTAGACTCATGCGACCTGGCTGGACTGCAACCCCTTTGGGAGCCCTGGAACCTTTCCCAGAAAGCCTCTTTCCTCCTTTGCTGTCCGTGGGCCGGCCCGGCTGCCGAGGCGGTGCGCGCAAGCGTTTACAATAACTTGTTAGCTGCGATGTGGCTGTGAAAGCTGCGGCGAACTCAGAGGCTCTAGCATCCAGTCGCCTATGCCACAACCTCGGATTGCCACTTTCAAGCCGCCTTAATCCCTTTAGAGTGGCCTCTGAAATAGCAACTGCTACATTATGATCATTATGTTGTGCTACTCTGCTTTCGGTCGGCGCCTCTCCGGGTGCCTGAAGAGCTGCGAGGATGCCTTGCATCGCCTGGTGCAAATCTGGGACATGGCGCACGAATACGCGCAGAAACGAGCATACAGCAGCAGGAATTTGCGACTAGGTAACTCATAACAACAAGCAACTCACGCATGCAACGTATCCTCAACAAGAACAGCTCTCTTTACAGTTCTGCCCGCCGTCCATTGCTTCGATCTTTGCCTAGCCTGCCAGGCGCCCTGGCAGCAGGGTGCTCCCCGTGGCCACGTGGACCACACTGCGCCACTCCAGGTGTCCGCGAGGCTCGGGAAGCCCAGCCTGAGAGACGTCGCGACAGCAATTCAGAAGAGCAATGCAGAGATCGCTCCGACAAAAGGAAAAACAGAGTGCATTCGCCTATTGCTTTTCTAGCTCTGCGTCCTCTCCTGCATCATCGAGGGCGCTGCCAAAACACCCATAACCAGCCACTGCCCCCTCGCGCTCTCCTGTTCATTGGGGGACGCTTCGCAGCAGTCCATAGGGCACCATGGGGCACAACATGGCACAATCGCTCCCCGGCACGGCACGGCCCGGCCTCGCCCAAAGTCTCCCAGCGGCAGCAAGAAGCCAGGTTGATGGTAGAGAGGAAGCAGCCAACAAAGCCCCGCAGCCTCTAACAGAGATGCGAACCGACTGGAAAGTGCATTCAGGCTCATGGCAATTGCGATTCAACGTCACTGAGCTCCTTGTGGTAGCGGGCGAGTTCAAGAAGGAGGTCTCTGAACCCGCTTTCATCCCAGACTCATCCCCTCTGTCATCCCCGTCTCGCTCCATTTCGCCGTGTTTGAGGATCCCGCATCAGTCACGACCAGGGCCGATGAAGGGTGAAAGTTCTAGCGGGACAGAACTTCTTGCAGGGATTGCTGTGCTGCCGTGCGCGGGATCGGCCAAGATGCGTTCGGCCTGTACACTGGGCGACCCAAAGAACCAGCCTTGGCCGCTCATCCGGCGGTACGCAGTACTTGATAGTACTTCTTCATGCCATCCCACCCGGCACGGAGCCAAACTGCAGCTCAGTGGAGTTGGATGAGCTTGGCAAGACAGCCAGCTTCTTAGACCCGCAGCTCTTCCCCCTTTGACCCCTCATCAACATACTAAGCAGGGCAAGCAGGCCAGGGACTAGGCTTAGCCAGAGTGACTCCTAAACAACTTAAAGGGTCATCCGACTCACACACACGCATACATGCACCCACGCCAGCCAAGACTACGAGCACGGCGGAATGAGGAGCCCAGTGCGCACAGGCTGGACACGACACACATTGCAGTATCCCCTTGGTGCGATAGGGGGGTGAGAGAGGACTTCAAGCACCACTCCGGGGCTAAGGGGCGGTAGGCATTGCTGCATGGTGTTTCAGTGATTCATGTCCGTGCTCTGCAACATGTGGTGCTGCAATCCTATGCTTGCTTCATTGAGTCGCGCAACCATTTCTTCGGGATGCTCAGGCAGTTTTCTGAAGTCAAGGGGCCTGCGAGTAACCCTAGCGACGTTGTCTCTGAAAGCGGAACACAACGTAGACGCCAGCGTTTAAGAGCATCCCTTGTTACGTGGTCTCGTGCTGCCTCTATCTGCCTCTGGCATCTTGTGGCACTTTCCCCGGCAGACCCCAGTCCTCCACAGCTGTAAATCTGCATAGGCCGACCGAGTTTCCCTTGCGCATGCGGCCATCATATCTTCAGACGTAACAGTTCGGCACTATTCCCAGCAACCTGCTCGACAGCGTTGACGGTTCTTCTCAAGGCTTGCTCCACTTGCATGCCCCGGCATTGACCCATCTCTTTTCAGGGCTGAGGGATCAGGGACCGCCGCATCACAAGGTGCTTCAGCATGCCCTGGATTGAAGGGGCAAGTCGAATCAACAAAGCGAAGGAGGACTGGAGAAGTCTTGTCTCGCCTTCACACCTCGGTACCCCCCTGCTTTGCGTCGCGTGGATCGGGTGTTACGAATAACATGAGGTTATTACTTTGCCTGGCCGCTTTTTCCGCTCTCTATCTATCTTTACTTGTGTCCTGATTTCACGGTTCTTTCTGACCTTTTCTTGGTGCCTCTTTCTTCTTCATCTTCTTCTCCTCCTTTGCGGGCATGAGGGTCTGGGTTGCTCCCCTCCCCCGCGTGGCGTCTTCTGCTGCTGACAAGACAAGTGCTCACTCTGGCCTAGAAGGCCAAGCGGGCCCTGGACCACGCGAACAAAGCCCGCCAGTCCGACCTGAGACCTTGTCACGTCCCATAAAGGTCATCATTGAGACTGGCAAATGTTGTCAAGCTTTCCTAGTGCTGCCTTTCTTGCTGACAGCACTACATACACACCCTGGTCAATGCAGTCGAAGCTCCCGTCTATCAGCAGCAGACCTCACGAAGCAAATCACGGCTCTAGTGAGTGCCGTCGAAAGCACCCCTTTTCATGACAAACATCAAACATCCGAGCTTCCCGCAGATGAAGGGCAACGCATCCAGCTGCTCCGGTGAGAGAAGCAACGCAATCGATCTGATGGCAAAGCAGTATGGCTGCTGAGTTGTACAAGCTTATCACCAATGGCGCATCATTCGCATGAGTGTCTACGTGAGAAGAAGGCACTCTGTCAATGCGCCTGTACCACGTCAGCCAGCTCGTGAGGCGCTCTGCTACGCCGCGCGGCACTAGGCTCCTCCGGCCTCTCCCAGCGCCTGTCAACTTGGTGTGGCATTGACCAAGCTGTTGCAACCAGCACGCCAGAATGCTCGGCATTCTTTTGACGATGTTATGCGACGCTTGTCAGCGATCCGATCGTGAAGGCATGTCTCGCCCGGGCGCTAATCAAAATCACCGCCGACAGAGAAGTTGCTGAGTTAATTGCGGTTCCGTTCCGTGGTCGCTGGTGTTGGGCATGGCGACAAAAATGGCCATGATGGATGGCCATGAACCACAGGAACGGCTGATTGTCCCCTTGTCCCCTTGCTCGACTTAGCTGTGTGGTTCGGGCCTATGGCTCAGGTGGGCTTAGGGACTGCTTAGGCTTTGGGGGCTGGATTGGAAGCTAGTTCACGGTTCCTGCTTTGTTTATCTTTGCTTGGGGCTTGGTCGATTTTCGTAGCTTCGATGAAGCTTCAGGAGAGATCGGAGAGCCATCAAGCTTTGGAATGGGTTTTCACTTCAGTGTGCACTGTGTTTGAAGGACAATAAACCCTAAACCCTGTCAGCGCCGGTCACCTGCATTGCGCTGGGATCACGGACGAGCAGAAGGCCATCGTGAAGGCCAGCAAGATGCACGCGGGTCAGGGGGTGGACGTTTTCAGTGCTGGCGTCTGGTCTGCCATTGTTCCGATCCTCCAGCTCCAAGCCGAAGCGGTTAACCAACGTTCTGCTGGCGGAGAACCAGGAGACCGAGCCGGAACCGCTGGACAGTCCGGACGCGAGCTTCGACGATGTCGAGGTTTTCCTCGCCGTCAACAACATCCAGGCCGACAACGACGAGGCAGCGTCTGAGTCTGAAGCTGCGGGGGCCTTAGCAGTATCCTGGACGGAGCGCGGTGAAATCAATCGCTTGCAGAAAACGAGGCAGTTCGGGACTACCATGGAATGCCTCGAGACGGGCCTCTAGGATCGAAGTGAAGGAAGAACAGAGCCCGCAATGGGCCCGGGAATGCGGGTGCAGGACCAATGCTCCAAATCGGACTGGCCCGGCCGAGTCTGGCGGAGCAAACAGCAGCAAGCCGACTTCTGAGACCTTCGATGTCGAGACTTTGACGCCGGAACCCGTGTTCTTCGTCGGCGCTGAGGTACTCCGTGCTTCCCTCATCTCGTCCCAGGCTCCGGAGTGATTGAGTCGGGGTGTGGACGCACATTGCCAAGATACTCCCACTTCGGGAATGGCGAAGCTCTGTGTCCACCCTATCAATGGAGTGACTGGAGTGATCCAGGCGGCACTCATCAAGGGCAGCAACAACGCGGGCCAGATGCTGATCAACCTGAGCCAGTTCGGACCCTTTCTGTCACTACGACGGCCCACTCACCTCGAGCGTGTCCGTTGCAGAGCTGTTTTCTCATCTGCGGTTTATGACCGGGCTGAACACTTGGGGTTAAGCGCATTTAGTTTCGATGTTCAGGACGGAGGATGGTGACGAAGGGGGCGCAGAGCCGCCTTCTGATAGCCACACGCAGGAGAACTATGGCAAAGAACTAGCGCCTCTGAGGGCCAATTAGCTTTACATAGTTTGACTATGGAGCTCAGAAAACATCACAAGTGGACTGGCACACGGCGCACGGAATCAGACCGACGGAACCTGCTTGCCGATTTCTCGTCTGGTGTTGCGGCTGATGATGGGGCTATGATCCATGCCCGCTGGATTGGATCGAAAATGATCAAAAAAAACTCGACACTGCCGAAGGAATCTACAAAACAGCGCCCCGGGCCTGAAACATGGCCGTTAGCCTGAGTTCCCATCTCCTGTCCAGAGTCGCAGCTCCCGTGACAAAGCAGAACGTTTCTTGCGACAGGGTATAGCGTGCCAACAATCGTCTACAGGACTGCCACGTGCCGCCCGCACTTCACCCAGCGTCAAGACAGAGTAAATGTTCGGGGCTTCGACAGGCTTCGACAGGCTTCGGTGCAAACCGTAGAATCAGCATTCTCCTGAGCTCCATTCGCTCCATTCGCTCCTTTCGCTCCATTCGCTCCATTCGTCTCAGGTCCTGGGTCTACTCAAACCATGTGACAGAGCGGCTGCAGAGGGTTCCGCATGGCTCCGCTGGATTTTGCCGAGTCGCTGTTTTGCGATTTGGATGAAGGCTCATCGCCTCAGGCAGGCAGCGTGGCTGACTTTCTGGGCTGCACTATGAGTACTATCCGGGCCAAGTCCAAAAAACATGCTTCCCAGCGGCAGTTGCCTTGCCAAATGAGCTCCAACCTCGCATGTCGTTGAGACAATGTGCAGAGCAGTCGGGCAGGAACATTATATTACTATCCTGAGACGGCCCACCCCCTGAACATCCCTAAGCCCCAACAAGCTCGCACTGGCAACAGGGCTCCGGCAAGCCAGGTGCAAGCGCCAGCGCAAGCGGCACGTGCCCAGCTTGGCTGCGGCCACGGCGGAGTCCTTTCAAGAGGAGCTCTGGCAGCTGAGTTGAGGAGGGGATTCGGGCATAAGTTGCAGAATGATGCAGATCACGAATGTGGACGAAAGCAGCAACATGGATGAATGGCAAATTAACTGTAAATCCTGCTGCAAGAACAAGGCCCAGCAGCAATGAGCGGGACACCGGGGACTTTGGCGGCCGTGGCCTGCCAGAACAGTCCAGAACAAATCAAAAACAGGTTTTAAAAGTACTTCCACCATGACAAAAAAACTCTCGAGTGTGAGCAAGACATCCTTGGACCATCGGGCACAGATTTGTCGTGTTGGGCATACAGTGCAGTGGAAGGGATAGCCAACGGGCATCTAACAATCAGGTCGATTATCGAGAATGTGGCAGGGCACTCCAGTGCGCACTCCGATTTGCATCCAGCGCGCACTCCCGCATCAGCATCCATCGCGCACTCTTTTTGCATCCGGTGCGCACTCCTCGGATTTTAGGGCTTAGGGTTTTTAGGGTTTAGGGTTGTTAGGGTTTAAGGCTTTTAGGGTTTTGGGTTTTTCTATTTTAGGGGTTTTTAGGATTCAGTGTTTAGGGTTTAGGGATTTTTGGGTTTAGGGTCTTTAGGGTTTAGGGTTTTTAGGTTTTTAGGTTTAGGTTTTAGGGTTTTTGGGTTTAGGGCTTGTAGGGTTTAGGGTTTTTAGGGTTTAGGGCTTTTAGGGTTTAGGGGTTTTTGGATCTAGGGTTTTTAGGGTTTATGGTTTTTAGGGTTTTTAGGGTTTGGGGTTTTTGGGTTTAGGATTTTTAGGGTTTAGGTTTTTGGGGTTTGGGGTTTTTAGGGTTTAGGGTTTTTGAGGGTTTTGGGTTTTTAGGGTTGAGGGTCTTTTAGGGTGCGTGCGGTTTAGCATGGAAGCCTCGAAACACACCCAGGAGCGCACACTCGACGCAAATAGGAGCGCACACTCGATGCCTTCCCGCACTCTCGGCCCCGACACACTGAAAGATCAGAGCTCTGCGTGGGCAAGTTCAACAAACGAACGCAAGCGAGGACAAGATTGAAAGACAAAAACGAACAGAGGCGTGCAGGCAGAGACAAGTGGCCCACATTGGCCGACAAAGCAGACTCCCACCCCCCCTCCCATGCACTGGGTGCAGAACCCTAACTAAGCCTTAAACCGCCCTAAACCCTACAAGGAGCGGGGAGTACAGAGCACGGTGCAAGCAGAGCAGTTTTGCGGACGCCATTTGTCCCATTGGCCTTCCTAGACCAACCCTACACTTTCTAACCTGCCGTGCTTCCGCACTTGCAATGGAGCTGATAAGACAAGTGTTTCATGAGAACCTCTACGAGAATGACCTCTAACCTCAAAGAAGACAATGCTCGGAAGCAGAGGACAAAAGACCAGAAGCCCGCTTGAGTCTGATATGACCTCGCGCTGAACCCTTCAGCTCATGAAGTAACGTGGCATCAGCTCATGAACTTCAACGTCAACGGCTGTCGCGTGCAAGTAGGGTAACTGGAAGCATTCGCCATTCCGTGCCTTTTGCTGGACGACGAGGGCGAAGAGCCGGAAAGAATACAGTGATCCTCCTCACTCATACACGTGCGTGCAATCTCGCACAAGGATGAGTGCACGGCTGGTTCGGCTTGCGGTATCCTGCTTTTGGCGCAGATCCTTCAACAGCGCTGCCCTGGCCACCTTGCCAGTGGCGGGATTCCTCAGATTGGCGGACGAAAGCCAGCCCCCCGCAGCTGTAAGGCGGACATTTGCCAAACCACAGAGTATGTCAACATAAGTTGAAGATCCCAGGGGCAGCGTCGCATGTACAAGAACATCTGTGCTCTGTGTGTGTGTGTGTGTCAAACCGGCGCATGTCAGCGTAAGTTGAAGATCCCAAGGGGTCTTAGGGGAGACGGGGACACAAGGCATCGCCTCGTGACTGACACCCGAGGCGAGGGGGAGAGGGGGGGAGGCCCCCCCGCGTAACACCACAAATCCCTGAAATATCGTGTGTGTGTGTGTGTATGCTTGGTCTGCAGTAGCCTTGGCACAAATCAGGGACTAAGGCCCTCAAGTTCTTTTTGTCCCAAAACAAGCAGGTTGCAAACAAAAGCTCCCGGAAGCGCCACAGGAGATAGCTTTCGTGCAAACTGACAGGATCCCAGCAACCTCCTTGACAACCCCACTGCTAACTATCATGGCTCCTTGCGCAGGGCACAGTGCAACGTGATGAATTCTCGACTCGAACATCTGTGTCGGCTGTACAAAGAGTGCGTAGCAGACTCCAGCATGCAGCGACATGGCGCCAAGAGACTGAAGAGGCCTTGCCAGGTAACCGCCGCTGAAATCTGCACATGGGCGATCAACTGCATTGTGGAGCTGAATTCGCTATCGCTGACGCGCTCAACCGAAAGAACTGCCCCCATCTGAATTCGCCCTCGAAATTTCAGCGCAGACTCTCACTGGAGAGAGCCACAAACATGCCGTCCTGGGGTCAAGACACAGAAACTCACGAAGCAGGTTTTAACACAAAAACATAACACAACCAACGTAACTACAAAAAATCAGCTGTGACTAGCAGTGTCTTTTAACATCTGTCTTGTGAGTCTTGTGCAGCAAGTTACGTGCAGTTCAGAAAGCAAGGATGAAGCTTGGCGCCACTGCCCGCGCTGAGCACATGCATTGATGGCAGCACCATACCTGATTGCAGAAACCAGCGATTCGTCACTGCAGTAAACATATAACTGCTCGTGCACAAGTACCGTTCACGGCTTCTGATGGCATGTTGTTGTCTTTCGTTCCGGTGGTTGAATCTTCTTGGAACTCTGACGTTCACGTGTCGTAGGCTTGTTGGGCTTACAAAGGAAGCAAGACAGCCTGAAGGCGACCTGCACCGAGTGAGAACACATCGCAGGAGACAGTCAGAAATTAGGGTGAAATGACAATGAGAGAGAAAGCGGAGCGGGAGAGAAGATGACCTCCTCCTGCATCCTCCTGCATCCTCCTGCATCCTCCTGCATCCTCGTGCATCATCTGCCAAACTTGGGTATCCGGAAGGCGCCGGCTTGTACCGCACATCTCGGATCCCGACCCGTCTTCTGACAGATCACATGCCCGATCTTCCTGAGATTGGTTGAACAGGCCTCCGCAGACTGGAGCACACTTTCAACCGGGTGCTCTGCGCACAACAACAGCGCTGGGTCTCTCAACTTCAGGAACTCAGGAACTGCTGCCGGCTGAAAACAGGTCGCGATGGAAAAACGCTCGAAAAGGCTGACCAAATTCCCAAACACGGACTGTTTCCGGAATGTCAAACTCCAGACAAGAAAGAAGATGGTAACGTCAAGGTGCGTAATGACGTTGACCCGCAAGCGACGATCACGAACATTGGCCAAGAGAGACAATGCCTGTTCCCACTCCCCACACTGGTCACAGGCAAGAATGGCAGAACTGTACGTGATCATATCCTCTTGTAGTGTGTACTCGTGCAGCTGAAAGAGGAGGCTGAGGGCTTTCTGCCACTCACCACCCTTCTCACATGCACTGATGGTAGAGTTGAAGGTGATGATATCACAGGCTCGCTTGATGGCCAACCGCTCCAGCAAACACAAAGCAATTTGCCACATCCCATGCTTCTCACATGCACTGATTGCAGAGTTGCATGTGATTACATCGGCCTCAAGTTGACATCTCTCAAGATCATGCAGCAGCCACAGGGCCTCCGTCCAAGCACGACCCTTCTCGCAAGCGATGATGGTTGCACTGTAAGCTATGATGTTGGCCTCTATGTGACCTTGCTGCATCTCCAGAAATAGCTGCAGCGCCCTCTGCCATTCCTGCGCTGCTTCACACGCGCTGATCGCGGCGCTATATGTTACAACGTTTGCTCTGAGAAGCTGTAACCTGCAGTCTGCCAATAGACTCGCCGCAACCTGCCACTGGCTTGCCTTCTCACAAGCACTGATGGTGGAGCTGAACGATATCACATCTTTTTGCAAGGATGTTCCCGCTTCCTCGAACAGCTGCACAGCCCGCTGCCACTCCGTAGCTTTGCCACACACGCTGATTGTCGAGTTAAATGCCACCACCAAGTCCTAGCAATAACACAAAAAGCACAACGTGAACCAACTCAGGGTACCGCAAGCTGCAAAAAAATCGACAGCCACTAAGTTCAACCTCTTGCGACATATGTGCGTGTGTGTGTGTGTGTGTGTGTGTGTGTGCGTGTGCGTGTGCACCATTCTTGGGGCATTCAGGTTGCCAAGATACAGACAGAAGTACAGGGCCAAGCATCTCGGATAACAGTAGTTTTGCTGGCAAGACCCTATCATTCGCTCTACCAGGTAATGATTGAGAGGTAATGTACAGCGTCAGGACAACCAAAGATGCTACAGCATGCTGCGTAGGGGCGATAGATCGCAGGTTTTCTCTGAGTATCTATGCGTCTTGCATTCATCTTCCTGTACATCGTGACATGCATATCATGTCCATCCAGCTGTCCGAACTTTCGGGTCACCAAGGGTCATCGCCCATTGACTGCTTAAGTACGCCCAAAGCATGGCAGCGTCTTGTGGGGATATTACAAGAAAGTTCGACCATGTTCAAGCATGTCCATGCATGTTCATGCCGTGGCCTTCGCCTCTGCTTGCAGCCTGTCTTGGGAGCGAGCCTTCTCCAGCAAAGCCAGAGCCTGCTGCCAGTTCTCAGACTCTTCACATGAAGTGATGGCTGCACTGTAGATGATCACGTTTGGTGGCAGCCTGGCTATCTGAGCCATGTCCATAAGCACCAGTGCTGCTTGCCACCGGCCGTCATGTTGGAAAGTACTGATGGCTGTACCATACGTGACGACGGTCGGAGTGACCGTTTCTTCGATGTCCTCCATCAAGGTGATCGCTTCCCGCCAGAGCCCAGGTTCGTGACAAATGCGGATGACCGTGTTGTACGTGACGATGCTGGAACACAGGCTCTGCGTGTGAAGCTTGCTGAGACAATGGATGGCTTTCTCCCAATTTCCTTCCAAGGCAGAAATGTCTGCATTGCACGATATGATGTCCGTCTGCACAAGCTGATGCAACAGCTGACGGAGGCACTGCTGAGACCGTTGCCACTCAGAGGACGCAGAGATGCTCGAAATGCTGGCGTTCCAGCTGACGAGGCTTTTTTGCAGGAGGTTGACTGCCATCTTGGCCAGCAAACTCAGGGTCACCTTCCAGGCCCCGGAGGTGCCAGCAGTGGAGGTGATCGCAGAATTGTAGGAGATGACATCTGCTTGCACTGCCAGCATAGCCATCAGATCAAGGGCCATCCTCCATGACGCGCATGCGCTTAAGCTCGAGTTGAAAGCCACCTGGCAAAAGAAAGACAGTACCCAGCCGCATGACACTCAGGAAACGCGACTCACATTATAGCAATGTTTTCCCTTGTCCTGTCCAATGCGCAATGCTAGCAAAAAACTCACGCCAGCAAAACGGTTCAGAAGAAATGGACGTTGAACAAAAGCGTGCGAAGAGAAGCCTTTGCCCGAATACGACATGCAGGGGCGGTGCCTAACCAAACGCACCCCAAAGCAGCACAGACTCGGCTAGGCACTTGTTGAGGTCATGCTTATGCTGTCTGATGTCGCTCGTGCAAAGTGGCTGGCACATATTGCAGCATGAACTTATTCACGAAATCAAAACCAACCAAACACGAGGGTTTATAGGAAGAACATGGTGGCGGCGCCCGTAAGAGGCCGTGTGACTGAACACATTCTGTGTTTACATTTTTCGCGTCGAGGGCTGAAAACCCAAGTAAAACACACATTTTCGTGATCACCGCAGCATTTGCAGGGCTCGAAAACACTGAAGGGTTAGGTCATTTTTTCGGAAAAATGCATTTTCGCTCGAAGCCTGATCGTTTGTTTTGTTGTTTTTTTTCCAGGGGGTCCTTTTTTTTGAAGTTTTGGATGCGTTTTTTGCTCGAATTTGCGCTCTCGCCTAGGCGCGGGCACGTTTTGCTCATTCCCCATGTTGAACTTTCAAATGGCGATTTTCGGTTCGGGAAGTTTTTTCTGCGTTATGGCTCCGGCAGTTCAGGTTCGAAATAGTGCTCTCGCCACAGCGCAGGCATGATTTTCTGGAATTGTGCCTTGGTTGTAACCCAACAGACTTGTGCACTGGATCCTGAAAGTGGCCTCAAGTTGATTCTTCTTCAGGGTTCAAGGTTCAAAGTTTAGGGTTCAGGTTTCAGGATTTGGGTTTGCACTGCTTGGACTATTCTTTTGGGTTTAAGGATCGTTTGTTTGTTGTGTTTTTTTCTCGGGGGTGTCGTTTTGAAGTTTCGGACACATTTTTTGCTTGAAATTGCGCTCTCGCCTAGGCGCGGGCGCGTTTTGCTTATAAACCCCGAATTAAACAGCAAGGGTTTAGGCCTTTGGGGATTAGGGGTTCAGGCTTTGGAGTTGCAGGTGTGAAGTCCCAAGTCACGTGATTACCCCCCCCTACCCCCCACCCCCAACCCCACCCCGAGCCCAGAAATTGTGGTTACTCGCACGGCCTCTTAGAGGCGCCGTCTCCAAGAACATCAACCCACCTAGGACTCGGTCGAGTGCTCCATTGCTTAACATGGGCAAACTCAGCAAAGCCACGACGTTCGCTTCCAGCATCCTCTCTCCGAGCTGCTGAAGCAGGTCCAGCGCCTGCGGCCATACTCTGCCCCTTGCACAGGCACTGATTGCTGGGCAGAAGGTAAAGGTGTTGGTCTCCACTGCTCCAACCACTTCGGCGAACAAGGCCAACGCCCGTTGCCACTCCGACTTCCGCTCCCATGCGCTGATGGCCACATTTTGTGAATAGATGCTCGAAGCTGGAGCGTGTCGCGCAACACACATTCGCCAAGCCTGGGAATGGCAAGGTCTTGTTTTGAGCCTGCGAAAGCTTGTAATGGCGACACCGGCGACACCTGTCGGATATAGCACCCAGTCATCAGTTGTCAGCATGCACAAGCATGAACAAAGATGAGCAAACAAACAAACGAACAAACGAACAATTATGAATAAGCACTTCCACTGTCTTGATCTTGACCTGCTTCATCCCAGGCTCTTCGGCAGGCTACGGAGCAAATGGAGACCTCGACAGTCTCTTCGGTACTCGGAGTGTGTGGTCAGCATGTGTGGAAAAAGGCACATCACCTGCTCTGCATCTTGGTTCCCTCTGCACTGAACGCTTTTCTAACAATAACAATAGAGCCCACCGGCCCCTGATTTTGCGACAACACTTGGTGCCGAGCTTGTGTGGGGCGGAAGAACCGCCTGGAATCATGTGATGCGGTGTGGCGGTCCAGGGACTCTCCCCCTTTCCTCTCTGCCATCTCTGCCATGTCCTTCCCCATTGTTCTATGAGCTGCAGAATGAACCCCCTCCCCACCCTCCTCCTGTGGGGTGTGTGTGTGCAGTCACCCACTGTAACTTACCAACTAACCCAATTAAGCCCTCCCTGCCTGATTGCAAGGTCGCAAATCAAGAAACCGTTGCAGCTGGAGCAGCGTCATTTATGCATCCAGTGACCCATAGTGATCCCAGAAACCCACCAGCCTCCAGCTGCGTCACTTGAGCTGCCAGTGAGCACTCCAACTTTCCATCCCGAAGAACGACCGCCGCATGTCGGACCTGCGAATGGCACGGGCAAAATCTGAAAGCATGTTCCGATCTCGTGTCAGGAAGGCATGGGCCTTGTGCTCCTCGTCCCAAAGTAAGGCGGCTTCCTTGCAGCCGGCCTCCTGCAGCCTCCGCTCCTCACACGGAAGTGCCGCCCCCATACGCCGATGCAATTCTAAGGCATGATGGCACATGCTATCGCGCACCGAAAGTTGCATCCAAAACCTAAGCTCCCATCAACTGCCGTGAGGTCCAGCCACTTGCCACCAACCTGCCGTGAAAACTCTGGATCATTAAACATCCTCACAAGGACACACAACGTCGCGTTCTGCTACGCCTTGGCGAAGCCATCAGCGCGGCCACAATACTCAAGAGCACCATTGGCCGTCCACCGTGCCAGATCCCGGGTCCTACAATGGCAAATGACCCAGGAGATCCCAGGAGATCCCGAGCTTAGGGCCTAGGGCTGAAGAGAATATGCCACAGGGGCTTGGAATTGGGAAATACTTCTCCACAAGTCATGCTTAAACTTGTGTGGTGATGACGCTGCGCACTATACTTTATGCGTGAAAGAGCCCCTGATCTTGCTCTCACTTAAGTAAGGACGTAGTGTTAATAGTGGAGCTTTCCAACAGTCAAGTCTGTTGTCAAGTGCTCAAGGCTCAAGAACTGAAATTGCGTAGAACGTAGGGTTTCGCGGGCATCTTGCAGTTTTTGAGGTGGTTGACATAAGTCCACCGGCACTCAAAGATTTCAGCACCGTCCAGGGAACGCTCTGCGTGATTGGAGTTTGCTGGTTCAGCTTAACTTTGATGCCTGCTTCGGGATCTTTCAAGAATTTGTTGCCCATACCCAGCCTGTAGTGCCGCACAAGCTGACCGCCAGCACCCAGCGGTAGATTCACAAATGCACCTGGCCATGGACATGTGCTGTCTTGAACACAGCAGTCCACTGCCTCGGCCTTCATTCAAGGCGGCTTTGCTGTAACCTTGAGCACTGACCTCGAATGATATGCCAGTGTCACATGCGCGGTCACCAACACACCTCTCTGACTCCTCTCTGAGAATGTGCTGATTCATTCTCATTCAGATTCATTCTTCATATGCCGAGAGAAGGAGCCATGGGGCCGGCGATGTAGAGCTCTCCTTAGAGCAGAAATTAAGCAGGTCTCCTCTGTAAGCACGCAGCGCTCACACGCGCTGGACCCTACACTGCACCCTGCTATTTGCGCAGCCATCTATCTTTGCTTTGTGTGGCAGCACGATACTAGGCATCAACACTGCTCAACACTGCACAACTCGCACCAAACAACTAGCGGTGCAGACAGGATTCCGACCTCGCCTGGCCAGCGAGCAGAAACACTGAGGCAAAACACAGCCCCGCCAGTTGAAAAACTACGACACGCGCACACGGACCGCAGACTCCGCGAATGAACTTCAAGCAAAATCAAAACCGCCAAAATCAGAAGCTCCAAAGCCAAACCGAGGAGCCAAAACTCGACCTAAACAGCACCATTTAAGGAGAGAACACAACCCGTTCTCTCGAGTTGTCTCTCGACCCTTGGAAGGCACTGCGGCATTGTTTTCTGAGGTATCTGAGAAGGTAAAAACATGTACAGCTGGGGCACACTAAGACACACTACCAAGCACTTATGTTGAAGGCTCGGCATCGGGATGGCTCGGCATTTTGCAGGGGGGAGCGGCCCCACCTTTTTTTGTCAGAAGCCGTAGCTTTTCTTCTCCCTTGGCATCCGACAGAAGCCGATAAAGGTTCTGGCAAGAGGACTGGGAAACATAGCAGCAATGTTGTTGGTTGTTGAGATGCTCGATGCTTTACTTCCTGACACAGCACCGCTTGGTCACTCACGTTCCATCAACTGCTGCACGTGATGCTCGTGGTCTCCTTGTGCCGCGGCTGTTTTTGCTGCGTGTGTGTTGAGTTGCTGCTTTCTTCTCTGTTGGCGAAGCTATTCCCCGCCATCCGTTTGGGTCATTCGCAGTTGATCGAAGAAGAAGTGACAGGCTCTACACCTTTTCTGCATGTCTCCCATGCCCAGATTGTCTCTGCGGTGGGCCTCCAGGAGTACCCACCCCACATGATATGCACGGAATACGCACCCCCGGACATCTCCAAATGATCCTCACAGTGGCCAGATGATCCCATGCCCACCCGTCAATGGCGAAACTTTGCTGTGCCCATGCACGCATTTTGTGCAACAGTAGCCAAGGATGGTCCTCTGAGCGTCAACCACATAACATCCACGGCGCCTAACCCCCACCCCAGATGACCCTCGCAGCAGCCACTCCCACATGATCCTTGGAACGCCCACAGTACCAAGGAGCTCCCACCAACCACATGATAATTTCAGGGGATGCTCGAAGTAGATGCGCCATCGATTGCTTCTTCTTGTGGCGGAGTATTGGCCGAAGGAAGAGGCTGCACTGGTTCGAACCCTTCACCAAATTCAGTGTCCAGCTCCAGCTTCTTTAAATGTGTCCGAACAAAGTCATCGTGCCGCCTGGGGCCACATGCTGTGGCGAAGTAGTGTCATCCTGCTAGCACGGGCTCGAAAGCTGCCAGCACAAGAAACACGTCAAACAATTATGTCTCTTTCAGCCGCCCAGCCCGCCTCCTCAAGCTGAGCCGCCAGCAGCACAAGCTGTGCTCCACGTACAGGAAAGAAGCCAGGCTGCCGCAAGCCTGGAACTCTGGTTGTCTTCGTCCCTTGGTTGTTTGAAACTCACGGATGCAGGCAGTGCCCGAACCACTTCCGAGCAACTTGTCTGCCGGTGGTCGGCACAGAGCACGAGCCTCGATCGAGGCTCCCTAGATTGGAACAGGCTTCGGGCACAACAATTTGTACTCAACGATTCAACGTGTCCACTGAGGGTAGCTGCCAATATTCACTGGCGATCAGCAGATCCAGCAGCTGAACGTGTCTGCACCAAGCCGCGGCAGTAGACGGCCTGATGTGGAACTTACCGAGGGTCGGAGCTTGTACATAGCTCTGAGCGCTCTCCAAAATTCATGCAAAGCGTCCGCAAAGCTTCTCCCCATGTGAAAACAGTACCTCAGAGTCCACTCATCCAAAAGCTGCGACTGCCTTTGCACCGCGGAAATGGGCTTCTGATGTCAAAACCTTCCCACTCCAACTTGAACCCTCTGACTTTGAGCGAAGCCGCGCAAGGAGGTGCAGCGCGACGCGCTAAGGGCATCCAGAAGAGAGGGCCTCGGAACCAAAGTCCAGAAACAACCTTAAGCCATACTAAAAAAATATATATAAAGACAAACCAAGACAGGACAAACCATTGAAAACCAAAAGGACCCAAGCAAAGACAAAAAAAACTTTGAAAACACTTTTGCTGTGCAGTGTCGAGGGGTGTCTGCCAAAGCTTCTATTTACGCACAGATTTTTAATAATGACAGTTATATGTTTTTTCAACTTATTCCTTGTCCGGTTCAAGTTTGTCTGTTTTGAACTTGTATATATCTATATATATATATACACATAGTTGCTTTACATGATTTTCAACTTCTTCCTTGCCCAGTTCAGGTTTGACGGCTAAACTTGTGCAAAAACACAAATTTCAGTACTTGATTTTTTTTAGCTTCCTTCCTTGTGCTGTTGACATGTCTGTCAAAGTTGATGTGTGTGTGTGTATGTATGTACGATTTCAATTTCTTCTGGGTTCTGTTCAAATATTAAGCGTTAATGATTTTCAGCCTTTTCCTAAAAAAGAACCGTAAACCTTTGTCCTGTTCAAGCTTGTCCAAATTTTTCTGCAAATACATATTCATACATATGTATGTGTATATGTATGTATATGCACATGCAAACATGATTTTAAACTTCCTCGTCCTGATCGCGTATTGCAATACGGACTGTCTGTTTTTCAGGCCAAGAGAGAAAAATGAGGATCTGAATCCATGGATAGCACTGAAGGAAATCTGAGTCGATCCGACACAATCTGCCACTGTCCACTTCTGGAACAAGGCACACAAGCCCTGCCACAGTGATGCGACGCTCCTCGATGGCTTGTGCGACCTCACGTGTTCTCACACGCCATAACACACCAGAGTCACCAGAGGGAGGTGGCATGGCAGCTGCAAACTGAGCGAGACAGAAAAGTGAAGGTTGTTTGCACAACACGCACAACACACATGCACTCCTACACATACCAGCTATGGCTATGCAGGCAGCGCACACATGCGCGCCACACCCACGGGGGAACCGGCCTCAGCGATTCCATGGCGCGCGAGGAGCACCTTTGGATTGGATAAGCAGCTGATGCAGCACCGGAAGTAGCTGTGCTTTTTGAAGTCCAAGGAGCAAGGCATGCGCCGCAAGACCAGGGCAAGTCAAACAAACCCAGACCTCGATGTGGCACTCAGCAGCTCAGGAAACAATGCATCGCAACATATTGCAACACGCTCATGTTGGAGACGCCACTGGTCGCGCCCCAGAAGGCGGAGGTGTGATGCAAGATACGGTCCTGCAATGCAGGACAAAAACATCTGTGAGAAACAGTGCGAAAGCAAAGGCCGGCAAGCTTGGTTCTGCTTGGCTCCGGCACCTCACAGGTCATCACCCCAAAGTCTGGGTACGTCACGAGCTCGTGGAGGGCCATCCCTGCAAATGGTGGAACAGAGTTGTGTTCCTGAATCATTGTAGTCTTTTTGACAAGCTGCTGTGGGTCTGCACGACACATTTCGAGGCTGCCGTAGTCCCACCTTGTGCGTTCAACCTCTCTCACAAACTCCAAGTCTGCATATGCCCGATTGCGGCAGGTTGACAGGCTCACTGGCATCAAGTTCGCTCATCACACTCTCATCTTGGCACTAAGCTTCTATACCTTACTTTGTCGACAGCCTGTGTATACCAGCCACAGCGCATCGTCCAAATGCCTTCCACAGCCATCAACATGCACGATCACGACACATAACTCATAACTCATGGCGCAACACGGAGCACAATTGTGGAGCACAGCTGTGGAGCATGCTGGAACACACCCCGAGAGACACTCCCGGGAGAAACTTTACACACCGGCCTTGGCCCCCAGGCCTGCGGCCGATGTACCCACTGTACCTCTGACAACAAAGAAAGGACGCTGCTTTGCAAGTCATCATCTTACCTTGAGGTTCTCACCTAAAATCATTGCGGGTCGTACCAGGTTGCACTATGTACTATGAGGTTCTTGGATGAGTGGCTCACAACTTGGGATGCCTCAGCGTTTTGCAAGGTGTCCGCAAAAACCAGCGGTGTGCCAGATGCATGGGACCTTGGTTCCGAAGGCAGCAACACGTGCCTATACTAGCATGATCTCGTGTGACCTAGCATGAAAGGCATGGTCTTCTGCAGTGGGATGCCCGGCGCTTTCAGTGGTGCAGCTGCGGCAGCATCGCAAACGGCGTGCTCCAGGACCAGCAGCCTTCAGATTCATTGCACTATCTGCGCGATCCACTCCTCAGCCAACTGCAGCATGGCCAGCACGAGTGAAAATCGCGCAGCCTTGGTCTGTGCTCGGCGAGCGCTTCTGTGTTTCGGGTCACCTGAAGAGTAGGCTGAGCAACTTGGTGAACTTCCCACGCATTCCCACCACATTCCATGTTCGTCATACGCATGAAATCAAAAGTCGTAGAGTCGTAGGCAATGGACCTCCTCCTGGGTCTCCAAGTCACAGCTCAGAGCTAGCCTCACAATGAAACAGCTCAAACAGCTTGCAGAAGATTTTGGCAGCAAACGCACAAAGAGTCGGTTGGAACTGAAAGGGCTTCTGGCCTCTTGCATATGCTGAGCCATCTAAGCCCCATGCACAGGGCCCAAGCGGCTTGCAGCGAGACAGCTGGCAACCCACAAGCAGCTGCGGCGCAGCAGCAGTGCCACCTTGAAGGCAACACTTCTGATACTGCGACTCCTCGCCAGACCATCCTGGTCTCTTTGGACATCCTTGAACATCCTTGAACAATGCATCACACTCCAATTGCCGCATTGTTCAAGCACTGTTCAAGTTCTCGGGCACCCACAATAGGCGGAGAATCACCTGCTATTCACGGCGAGTTGAGTTCAGAAAAGAGGCCGAAGCCATTCGGACCGCTGCCTTTGACAGACATCATCTCTAAGAAGCCGCTTGCCAGGCGGAGTGATGCCTCGACATGCCGAGATTGTATCGCGTCACAGGATCCAAGGAAGTGTGCCTCTTGAAGCTCCGAGTATGTCCAGGCACAGCCGAAGTCGTCCTTGACAAGAACAGCTTGATGTGGTGTAGATTTGAGGCGACGGCCCCCGCAGCGCGCCCTGCGTTTAAGCCACTTGTGAGGTTGATTGATTGATTGATTGATTGATTGCCTGTGGGCGCGAACGCCCTTGCGGTTGCAAGGCAACGTAGGCTGCCCCAAGCTGTACGAGAGGAGACTCGTCACAAGTGGGGTTTACGTTTCTTGTTTGGGTTGGGGCGGGGGGGGTGGGGGGTGGGGGGGCGGGGGGGGGGGTAAGAACGTCATTCGTATTGTGGCCATGCCCAAACCACTGGTATTCACAACGCTTTCGCCTCTTTGTACACCATATCGCGGAGCAAGAAGCGTTGTCACAAGCATCCATGCCTTTGGCGACCATGCCAAAAACACTGGCATTTACAACGTGTTTGCCTCTTCGTACAATATATTTCGTACGATCTTTCCGTGCGCATTAAAAGGCCCCTTTAAAGTACTATTTTGGGAGATCTTTTCATGCGGCTTTGCAATGAATAAAATGAATGTAACGCCGCACGAATAAGAACCCCGCAAAATAAGCCCATTCATTTAGTGCCGCGCATCAATAATCTTTACACGCGCGTACTATAACTCACTAAAAGACCATATAATTTTATTTTTAATTGTAAGGAATGTAATGACGCACGAATTTAATAATAAAATTTGGGCTTTTTTACTTTTCCCCCTTTCATGCTGTAGGTAAAAGCCCCCATGCATGATATTAATACGCGAGCATCATATTATATTACAAGCCCGCACACAAGATAATAAGAATAGAATGACACGGGCGTATGAAGATATGAATTCGCCCGTACGTTCATTCACCTATTCACTTCTTTCCATTGCATTCTTTTCCTTCACTCCTTTAATGCCGTGAAGCGAATGACTGTACAAGGATGTGGAACAAGACACATTGTCACAAGCACCGAAACACTGGTATTTGCAGCGTTCTCGCCTCTTGTACAACATACTGTGCGAGGATGTGGAACAAGACGCGTTGTCCACAAGCGTATGAAGCCTTGGCCGGCCTCTGCAGGAAGTGTAAGGTTTGACAAAGTTTCGTTTGGAGTCCGCGCGTAGACGCTGCCGCCACCTCGGCTTTTTGCACTGTAAACCTCAAAAAATATAGTCTGGTTCAGGAAATTGCGCCCTTGTGCTTGATGCGCTCTGCTTCAAATTATGCGGTTTCTCAGGGTTTTGGCAACGTGTTCCGCCAAAACGCAAGGCGCCTTACAGGAGCCATTGCATTTGCTCATGCACACAATTCTACTGCCTTTCTATTCTAAAAATCGAGCCAGGCTTTTTCAGCACTCACCATAAAAAGACTTCTTTCTCGAACCCATCGCCATACACGTTTCCGATGTCTGGCTAGCGTCCGACCCCCATCCATCACCTGGTTGAGCTTGCCTGCTGAGACTACGCATCGCCCTATGTGAGAGGGAAAGACGATAATCGAATGAGAATCTCGCGAAACTCTGACCTTGTGTAAACTCTCCCAATGTGGGACCAATGTGGGAGGCTTTCGAGCTGAGATGCGAGTGGACTTGGACCTTTCCTGAAAGGTATGGACAGAAAAAATCCACCGGTCTCGTTCTCCCTCGAAGGAAACATGAAAAGCTAGCCAGCATATTCGCGCAGACAGAATCCGGCAGCCCAGCGGGAAATTGGGAGCCAACTAGAAGAAGATGCTGGCATTTGTACTGCGGGGTTGCGAAAACCAAAAAACGAGTTCGCAGTGACATCTCGGAGCGCAAACGCACAGTTTCCTCTTCAGGCTCACTAAGACGAAAAACATGCTGTCGAGTCCTCAGGAGGCGTCCCACAAAAGTTCTTAGACCAATGCGCATCTTGCCATCTTGCCACTTATGAACATCAGGGCCTTTCCTGCTAGCATCACTCCCCTTGGGGTGTCTGGCACTGAACTGGACTAAACCCATTCATTCATTCCTCACGATTCCTCACAACGCGGCGCCCTGAGCACCAAGGGCCAAAACTTTCCTCCGTGGTTTGAGGACATTTTGGTCTTGGTCTCCTTTCGGCTCTCTTTCCTTTCTCTGCTGTTAAGTTGTGACAATGCAGTTTATGGTACATGCTGGCATGCCTGTTGGGATACAGCAAAGAAAATCTCTTGGGCAGCGACAATTAAAAAACGAATTGGGACGGAGCAGGAAGCTTAGAAAAGAACAGAAGATGTCAATGTCCCGGAACCCGATTGGGCAGGTCGAGCTTCGAGATTTGGGAAATGGTTAGGGTCTGAGATATGGCAACCGCTGCCGACTAGCACCGGGGCCTGTTTCAGTAAAAAAAGCGAAATGGAGGACTGCACGTAACACCATTTGTCAGTCTAACCCTGGTTGAACGTGCCGACACAAAGACAAGCTTGAAAGCGGGCAAGAAGCAAGGCAACAGGACAGCGCTGGAACCGAGGGAACTCAGGCCCACTTGTCCTCGACAGCTGGTCTTTGAGGATATCTCTTTGCCAACCTGTCGAAAGCCTCCAGAAAGTCACGAGTGACGAGACTTCGCACACTTCTCTCAGGCTGCTTTGGGTCACGTTAGACCTCTGGCAACGCCTGGCCTTCACACCTCAACACCTCTGCCTGTTCAGCCAGGTGAGCGCTCGTGTAAACCTAAACCATCACTGATACCGCTTTTCGAGTTTGGGCGGGGTTAAGACCTGTAGCAGGACGTCAAATTCCTCTGTTAACACGCTTCACACGGAATGTTCCCGAACATGTCACGTCGGCCTCATCCAATCCAACGAGGCCTGCGAACGAGAATGCTTCCTGACCGGGCAAGGTACAGGGTGCGGGCCATAACGGAAACCGCCAAGGCTGTAACCGAAACCGTGCGACAGGAGAAGAAGGACAACCGCAACAACAACCAGCACTCGCGCAACAGAAACCAAGACGCCGCAAAGGAAACCACCAACGGGCTTCGGGAACCTCCTCCATAACAGCCTCCTCCGCGCTCTGCACGGTCATGCAAGGGCGCTTGGCATTGTCGAAGATGTTCTCGGCAGCCTTAGCAGATAGCTCTCGCCTCTAGACCAAAGCTGCACCTGTGGGAAGAAAGCTACATTCTCCGGAACAAGGTATGTTCCGGTTGTCCTTCCACCTAGAAGGCATGCCTATGGAATGTTTTGGGGGGCGGGGCAGACATCCAAAGTAACACGATATCTTTCGATGCTTGGCACTTGGACCTCGGGTGCCATGCGTCGCTTCATCCGACAGGGAAGACCCTGAGCTCAGCGGATCAAGGCATCTCCAGACCATTCCAGACCATGATCTCTTTAACCGGCTTAGTCATTCTCAAAATGTGTGGGAGAAGACTGGAGAGCACAGGTTTCGCATGCACGATTCTGAATTGGAAACCCTGCTCCCGCCTTTTGGATCTGCTGGAGGCAATTTTCGGAGTCTATCGTTGAAGCATTTTCAAGCTACGAAACCTCAGTCTTGCAGCCCGGCTCATATGTCATACACACATCCGCCCTGGTTGTCCACAATGAGTCTGCACTGCTCTGGATCAAAGATTACAAGGGTCGCACGTTCACCAGCTACCCTTCTTGCCATGCATAACAACCCTGACAACTAAACTAGCAACATCCGTGTTGAGCCCGGTGGAGCGGCAGGGGCAGCTGAAAAGTGTCAAAGTGTTCAAAGGGGAGCCATGGTTGTCCCATGTCGATCACACGTCTAATTCCGTCGAATGAAGCTCCAAGACGTCGTTCTGCTGCAAGACAATTCCTTTTTTCGCATCTTTGGCGCAAATTATCCTGTCTCTGCTTGTGTCGCATTTGCAGCGCTCAGTATCTGGCAGGCAGCATGGGAAGTGTGGGTCGCAATTGAGTTTGGCTTCCCAGCTCCGCCAGGTCTCGAGCTGTAGGAGTTCCGTCTCAAGTATTCACCAACTAACCCTCCTCGCAGAAACACCGTCATTTTAGCATGCCCGCTTCTGCTGGTTTTCTGGACCCAGGTTCCGAACTCCCTCATGGACCTTCCTATGGAAACCTCTTGGGACACCTACTAAACTACAGCGAAATCTTCCAGCTGCCGTTCCTGGGCCTTGCCCATGCCCCAACAATCAGACACCGGTGCGCACGACTTCGTCCCCTATGACCCCCATGCAATTCATTGCAATTCCGATGTCCCCTCTGAATCATGAACCTCTCATGCACCCACGATCGACTCTTTTTCACCGCCGTGAAAGCCCTTCATTACACGCCCTCGGATTCCCCATGTGGACCCCCATAGACCTCGTGTGTTCCTTCTTCGCCTCAAGACATCTGGGCCCCTTGCACGATGCCCTGTGCCGAGGCGGGTCGCGCAGCGATCAAGTTAGGATAAGTTGGGATCCCCGAAGTCCGAGTGGCCGAGTGAAGCTCATGCAGAAGCCCGTCACTTCGAGCCGAGAGAACCGAGGCACCTCCAGCCGCACAACGGGACAAGACTCACAAAACTCACAAAACTCACAAAAAAAACAACACTACAAGGGGCTGTTGTGACTGCTGCGGTTTAACACGACAAGGTTAGGCCACACCCTGGCCTGGGGACTCGGAATCCGTGCTCTCAAGAATGCCTCCAGCTTCTGATACCTCAGCAAGGCTGTTGACAGTGTCAAACCCTCTGCGAAAGGAGTCAGCAATGGGCATCTTGCCAGCAGCCGGCCGGCCGCCAGCTCAGCGGCGTCGGGCGCAATCGCGAAGAAGGCGCCTAGCCTTCCACAGGCGACCTCTGGCCGAATGCTCGATGATGCTTTGTCTTTGCGCAACGTGCGGTTTTGAAAATGTGTGGTGGCGCACCCAAGCAAGACCCAGCGCAGGATTTGGGAAGACCTCGCAACAGCAACGGGAAATGCAAGCGCAGACTCTTTTTTGACCGCAACATGGCTTGGACGGCTTGATTCCCACGGGTCTGAGGTCATGGCCCGCACACCAGCAGAACGGGGTGGCCCAGCATAGTAGAGGCCACGGAGATTTGGCCAGGAGCGCCTTCTTGCAGACTCGCAAATGTCGCAAAACGATCGCTGTTTTGTTCAAGGTTCTATATGCTCACTGGTGAACCCTGGCGCGCTGGACAGTTCCATGGTGCGATATGCCGAAGAGTGACACCTTGCATTGACTCTTAGGGTGCTCATGAGAGCTCACAAGCTGTCAGGCCTCGGATCGCCTGAGGCCTCTGCTCCTGCAACGCCATTTCGAATCACGGAAACACTAACATACAAGGCACATTCTCGCGTAGTGAGACCGGGTGCGACCCTTGTAATGGCTTTCCTGATGGCTCCAAGTATTGCCAGCATGATATCAAACGTGGACGGATGCAGCGCGGACGTGCACGAGCATGCACATCTTCTGCCTATGATGACGTCGCAGAGATGCTCACCGGAACCAGGACTTCCTGAAGGTCGTGTCTGCGGCTTGAAAGACTCGTCTGGGATTTGGGGGCAGGGGGGGTGTCTCAATGTGTCTCACATCCTTGATGTGGAAGGCTTTAGAGCCTTGAAGGGTGTGACTTATGACTGGCTTATGGCTGGCTTTGGGTTCAGCAGTGGTTGAGAACTTGAAGAGGTTCGAGGCCAGAAAGCAGCAAGCTCGGTTGTCAGACATGTTCTCGTATGTGTACAGGCGCTAAAGACGCCCGTGTCTGTTTGAGGATTGTGCGCCCAAGGCGGCTACCCACACTTTCCGACCCCAAATCAAAGGTAATCCCAGTACTCCCGAATACTCGCGAGCTCCTGCCAGTGACACACCATTCAGCTCAGCACCATGTCGCCTGACGGCTGTGAAGAGCCTTGGGCAGCGACTCGCACAACACGGTTCGAAGAGCTTGAAGGGATGTGCTCTTGCTGCCTACTTACTTCAATGCTAGTTGTTACAGTGTGTTGCGAAAGATGGGCCATCGTGGCTGGCAGCAAAGGAGGAAGTGTGCTTATCTTCTTGAGGTTGGCACTGGCTTAGTTTCCTTGCTAATGTTGGATCCCCACCCCTGGCTCCAAATGTTTGAGCCCCAATGCTGCAAATTGCCGCACTTCTGACAAATGACAACCTGCATTGGGCTTGGACTCGTCACGCCATGGGTCGAAGACCACCGCAATCGCCTCACCTGCAAGCTGCGCTAGGCTCCCTTTCGCAACGCGCAAAAAGCATTCAGTTGAGTCAGCTGCGGCCTTCGAGCGAAGATGCGAACAGGACAAGAACTGCCTCCTGAGCAGCGTTTCCAGATGCTCACATTGTCACATCCAATACGAGTACGGCTGTCTGCCTCTAAGAACTCGTCAACATGTCAGGCTTTGGCTAATTTTTGCAAACCCGACATGGAAAAGGGGGCGTGTACACACTAACCAACTCATCGCAAGCCTCCAAACGACTCTCTGACTTGTCTCGGAATCTCGGACAGGGAACACACTTCAACGCCCAGCGAACACTGGAGGGATCTGGAGGGCTTGAGGCAAATACTATAGCTGGCACGTCCGTATGATGTAACCGTATGATTTGAAAGGCATGGGGACAGCCTTCAACGGGAAGTCGAGAGGCTTAACCCGGACATGCGCGGACATGCCTGGACATGCCCGGACCCGACACGGACACGGGATGACATGGGACACGCGGCCAAGCCGTCATCGGCATGCGCCTTAAGGCGCTGGAACACCGACCTTCCGCCCACCAGAGTAACAGCCAGGTGCCCTCACCGAATGTGAAGATACTGTGCCACTGAAGGGCAACATGGCACAATTAGAGGGCTAGAAATTTTAATGCTGCAGCCTCCACCTGTGTCAACTCTATGCACGAACACAAACAGTGCCGGAAAAAGACCATTCCTCCGACCGTTGGCAGCCGCCGCCCAGCTCCTGGCTTTCGAGACTGCTGTGGTAATGCGCAAGGACTCACGATAGCAGAAAGGTGATTGTCGTGAGCACTCTGCCAGCTTCACTCGTCACTTGGGCTCTACGGGTTTGCTTCCAAAATTACCGCGGCTGGACGGAGCACAGGAGTACAGTTAGCGCAGAAATTTCAACGAAAGCGAACACGCCAGGCTTGTTAGAAGAGCACAAGGTCACACCAGCCAAGATCGTAAGAGGCGGTAAAAGCTGGGTAAGAGTGAAAAGGCAGCAAGCTTGGCGGCAAAACCCATGTCCAAGACCTGCTGGACTCGCCACGTGCCTGAAGAGATGCCCCCGAAATTGCAGGATACAGGAGGAAACAAGTTCGGAAAGAAGTTTGGTTCTGACTCTACATTCGCTCTGATCTGCGCTGAGAGGGCTGAGTGCAATACGAAGGCATGCTCGGGAAAAAATTCCCGAAGGCCTGGGAGTGCAGACTTGAAAACCGGAAAACACGCTGCATGTGGGGAAATTCTAGGGCTCTAGGTTTGGGGTCTGCCGGGCTACCGCAAACATCCACAAACCGAAACCACGTCCATGCCTGGGTTTCTTGTTTCGAAAGGGTTATGCCATTATGCAAAAAAAAATGGGGCGAAAACCGCCTTAAGAGGCTAGTCGCGGCTAGTGTTTGCCCATGTCTTCCCCCTACATGCCCACGAAAGAGGTAGGTCATCGATGCAGCCATGGTGTCTGTCTGCAACTAGCCCCTCACCACAAAGTGACTTAGAAATCGGCTAATTTTACGGACGAACAGGATGACACAAAGGTAATAATATTGTGGGGGGGGGGGGGGGGGGTCGAATATAATAAGATATCGCATTCGTAATAACATAAGATAGAAAGGACCTTGGTTTTCATCCATAATTGTTTATCTCTTTGATTTAGTCTTTCGTTGAGGTATTATTTAGCCTAATTTTAGACGTGCACGGGTGACAGGAAAATTTCTCTCTTCATCACTTCCCTTTTCCTTCACTCAACTTTCTATTCCTTATGAATGAGGTCTTTGAGTCAATAATAGTTCTGTGAGATTGTAATTAATATTAATATTATGATTCCAACGTAGAAGACGTCTCTTGTTCATATTAATATATTTATTACTGCGAGGCAAGAGAGTGGGCCCCGCGAATGCACCCTTGATCTGTGTCCCGCTCTTAATGTAGTTTTCCTATGTTCTCTAGCCCTTTATTCGTGCGTTGGATTCCTTTCTCATTTGTCTCTTTTTTTTGGCCTTTTATCATCCTTCGGTGCGGGGTTGTTAGATTTTAAATTCAACTGTTCTCCTCGCCCGGAATTCTTCTCCTCGCCCGGTCTACTCCTACTGTAGAGACTCCCTGTAGTGCCCAACCCCAGAGACCTGGAGCACCCAACCTTAGAGACTCCCTAGAATGCCCAACCCCAGAGACTCCTGGACTGGCGTGCATGGCTGCCCCATCCAAAACCGGCTGCGCCTCGTGGGGGATAGGGTCGTTGCCAGCAGCAAGTGCCCTGTGGAAACGCTCGTCTGACGAGGATGTAGAGGTGGTAATGACGCTCGCTGGCCGCCGTCTTTCCTGGCTAGCTGCCAGGCAGGGCCCCAAGGGCCCCAGCCAATCCCTGTCCTGATCGCGCATCCGTTGCGCGGGCCATTGACGAGGTCCTCAACCATCGGAAATTTGAAGTCATGGAACCTGTCCTGATCGCGCATCCGAGGTCCTCAACCATCGGAAATTTGAAGTCATGGAACCACTGAGCCGGAAACAGCTTGCGAAACCGAAGGACCAAGCTCTCTTGAGACATGAACCCGGTGAACTCTGCGTCCGACCTGGTTGCTAGGTTGGCAGCCATCCGCCCACGGCCGTCCCCTGAGCTTACTTGCGGCGGCCCCTCCGCACAGATCAACCCTGCCAGGACGTCGGCCTTGCACATCTGCTCCAAAGGGCAGTCGCAGACCAATGTCCGCCCAAGTTCAGCAAGGCGAGAGGACAAAGTTGACTTGATGCGTTGCACATAAGAGGGTAACCATTCGGATGGCTTGCAGGAATGGCCTGGCACTTTGGGCGACTTCCAGATTGTAGTTGGGACGCGGTGGCTGTGGCGCCCTTGGCCAACATAGACGAAGTCCTCCGGCAAAACGCCGAATTCAGCCAAAACGTCGCGGACCGTGCGCCTAGTGGGAACCCTAGCCGCTTCCTGCGGGTCCGCGGGGCGCAGCTCGAGAGACACCCCTAACTTTCTTACCCACTCTATCCATTGGCCTCGCGAGCCTTTGGAATCTTGTCAAGAAGCGTAGAGCCGAACTACCGAATTAGGTCGAATTCAAATCTGACCTGCTGGGGAAACACAAAGTTCCTCCCATGAGGGAGTGATAGATGCAAAGGGCTTTGTTCGAACTTTACTTTGAAGGGAACGCAACTGTCGCACTGCCGGGCGACAGAAATACCACCTAGCTGACCGAAGCCCAAGCTCTTGGCGTGTTGCATTCCACTCATGACATCAACTGAAACACGAGAAACACCCCTAACAGCTCCATGGCCCATTCTCGCAAACAGCGGGAGTCTAGCTCCAACCAATGCTCCCTGCGGCCAACAACCTCGACGCGAGGCATCCTACAGCTTTGCCCAGCCTCACTGCCCACCAGGAAGCAGCCACCGCGATGGAAAATGCGAAAGGGGCAGTGTATTCGGCCTCTTCCTTGCTTGCGTAAACCATGGCGCCATTCCTCTTGAAGGGGTCCACTCGTAAGCCGCACGGGTGTGATGACAATTGAGCGGAGGCCATGAAGAGATCTCCTCCAAGTTGCGCCGAAGCAACTGAGATTTACATCGAGCCCACGAAGACGCAGGCACTATACCGAGTGTCCATCCACTTGCCCGACTTGGCCATTTCAATGAACCCCCTCCTCTTGCTTCCAGCTTGGCGATCTCCTCGAGGACAAACTCGCAGGCCTGGTTGTCGACAGCGATCCTCGGACCGCAGAGGGGTAGGCACTGCCCTCCCAAGCTGGTAGAGCAGTCCAACGCAGCTGCAATGAAGCACACCCTCCAGCTGCGCCGATAAAGATTGTTGACGAAGAGGATGAGAGAGATCGTGGAACGGACCCAGACACACGACAAGAAGGCCTTTGAAAGTGGGACGTTGGGACCTGCCATAAGATCGGCCATGACTGGCCTGGGCAGTTTCTCCTGCATAAACCGGTCATCACCTGACCCCGAAGACCCGGGCGGCTCCTGGCTCCGTGCTTGCTGGAGCCACAAACCCACTCCTTCTTGGTGACCCCGCAACGGTGGGCACCATTACTACACGGAGTCTTTGCGCATGTCCACGCATAACGGGCGCCACCTGCTGGCCGTTGACTTGCCCAAAGCGAAGCGGCTCTCCTTAAGAGATGGAAGTGGAAGCCGGCACCTGATTTTTGAACTATCTGGCGACCCACTCCGACCGCTCTTCGGCATCACGCGCCTGGAGCCAAGCCAAACGGCGACTGGAGGGCACGGCCGCCACCGACTTCTTGGCCCTGAAGACATACGCCATGGCGACGTCTAGAGTCTAGAGGAACTTGGACGAACAAAGTCGTGTCCGCTCCAGACTCCCGCCAATGGCTTGACGCCTGCGATAGAATAAGCAAGCCTGAGGGCGCGCAGCCTGTCCAGGCACCCGTCCACACGCGGGCTGCAAGTCTCGTCCTGCGCTGTATAGAGGTTATCGTCCGGACTTGCAAGCTTTTGACCTTGCGCAAGTTGAAGGCGCAAAGCATTCCTCTTGTTCAATTCCCGGGCCACCCGAGAAAGGGTCTGGTCAGAGGGTGTCATCTCAGGCCTAGAACCGTGACTTGACATCCCTGAGCTCTGCTTCGTCCAGCAGCGAACCCAGGTCCGAGGCCTGTACCTTACTACGGCCCTGGAGAGATAAGTCCTCACAGCACTCCAAGCACACCTGATTCTGGCTGTCTGGATGGCAGTTGCATCCCCAAGGAAGCAAGAGTCAATGGCTGCTTCGTCGATAAAGAAGAATCTAAACTCCTCGAGATTGCAAATCTGAGCATCCACCAGGCCTTGGACTACCCTCGCATCTAGGGCAAAGTTGGCAAAGCCCTGAACGTCGCCTCAGGACTAGGCCCATCCCTTGGCACTAGATTCACGCCGGCCATGCCTGCCAGCGAAGGGGCACCGCCCTTCGACGGTCACTCCGTCGATCCTCGCACAGCTGATTAAAGCACTGCGGCACGAAATGAAGACCGCTCCCGCTCACGAGACACAACTGCTACCGCACCAATCGTACCAGCAGCGGGGCCCTCACACAACTTTTTTCTGCTGCGCACGCACTCTCAAATCACACCCGCCTAGGTTACTATATCCGGGACGCAAGGAATTATCCCTGAAAAAGCGGGAAAGACGAGGCGCTCGAGCCGGATGAAACGATGCCGGCGCACGACGAACGCATTTGACACAACGTTTTGTCCCAGGCCATCACCTCAAATTTAGTCAGATGTCAAATAGCTGGGACCGGAAATACGGGCGGTTCCCGCTGCCTGCTTGTAGCCGCAGAGCGATGTTCCGTCTGCCAACCGAAGGCGGACGTGACTCGCCTCGCTGGCGATGTAGGCTTCCGCGAGGGGGTATGGAGACAACAAGCGTGCGTTTCGCTTCAGTCCCCACAACCATTCTGCCACGTCCTTCTCCCTCATGATCTGCCAGATCTGGGCCGACTTCCTCTTTGCGCGCGGCGACCTCCCTCGTGGCCTCTTCCATGGAAACGTTGCCCAAGATCGAGAGCCCTGTGGCGTCCGGACAGGCAGTGCACGAGGACGCTCTCGCCGTTGTTGAGGGTGTTCTGGATGGCGGGATGGCAAGCTCCCTGCAGCCAGACCCGCCATGCGCACACGACATCCCCGACGTCTGCGCCGCACTCGTCCGTGATGCTAACGAGTTCCTCAGCCGCCAAAACCCTGGAGAGCCTCCCGAGCTAGCCGGTCATGGCAGCGGCTGTATGCTGCATAGGCGTCCTGGGGGCTCGTGATTCGAGCACCATGGTCCCAACCGCGAAAATTGGAAGCCTCCCCTAGCTGAATCGCAACGTGCGCAGGGTGCTTGCCTACAAACAATACGCCTGATAGGGATTCTACCCCCGCAAAGTTGACAGCAGCAGTGGGCATCGGTGCAGGCGGGACATGGACAACTTCAGCCACTGAACGCCACAGCAACCAAAATTCTTCAACCCTGCTGTCCTGCAGGAGTTGGGCAGCGCACTCCCTGTAGGCCATAAAGTTGGGCACCGCCAACGTAGGCTCCTCCGTGAAAGCAACGTCTGCAACGCTCAGTTCCTCTGAGACCATACCTCACTGAACGCACTAAGGATCACCCCTCAAAATTTCAAACCTGACAGTTTGGCTAAGGCTTAAGCCAAAATGCAGCATGTGCAACAAGACTGCATGTAAATGAAACATGCTCACCCAGAGCCTGCCTATCTCAAAGCATGAATATATCTCTCCAAAAGACCAATCAATAAGAACATACCAGTAAACAAAAAACCTAGCGAAAAAGCGAACTCCAACGATCCCCCGCTTTGAAAACAAAAAGCGGAACGAGCAGGGGCGATTCCGCTGCTCCGGCCTGCTTCAAGAGCTTCCTGCACATTCAAGCCAGGCTCCTGACAAGTCACAGTTTCAAAGCGCGCGTGTTCACAAGCTCGATCGATGAAGCTCCCAATGGCATGCGTCCCGGGTGTGCATGCAACAGAGCTGCAGCAAATCTAAGCTCTCGTTCAATTGTCGCTGCCATCCTCGCCTGCAGTCTATAAATCACAGCTAACACCTTTAGGCTGTCAGGATCCACAGAGTGAATCTATTGGAGGCTTGGACACCTCTGCAGGCCAAAAAAAACGCCTTAAAGTTCTAAGAGCTCCAGGTGCTTTGCTGAAAGATGGCTAGCAATGTCGTGGCCAAGCCTAAGAGAAGAAAACGACCACAAAAGATGCGGATATCCGAGCCTAGCGGGAATGTCTGGACTGTACAGCTCTTCAGGTCAGTATGAAAGAGTATGAAGATCCTAATTACAGTGTTTTCTCTACAATACACCAGGACATGGTGGACTTTTCACAACAGTGCATCGGTGCAGACCAATTGGAATGGGATGCTGAAGGGCACTGCAAGGGGACTTCTGACTGAGATTTTATGAATTCTCACATCCTTCTGAAGGCTTCAACGGTCCCGCTCCTTCCGGGGATGTACCTGTGCCTGCATGTCTAAAATGGACAATCCCGCTTCTCGGCTGCAATCTTCTCTTTGAGTGCATGGCCCTCTGAGGGGTGGATGACAGGTGTGCATGCACATGAAGGCATTCAACCTTAAGGGTGTTCTTTGCCAATCATCGCTTGGCATGCACACCGATGCACACCTGCATACATTTGCCACTCCAACACCAGGATTCCGAGGCCCAGTCCTACAACTCTCGATTCTGCCACTACACGCGTGTTCGGGTCCTGAACAGGTGCCTGTGACCACAGCGTGGGGCCGAACACTCGTACGCAAGGAATGCGCGGGAGAGCTGCGCGAGATCTGACGATGTGTAAGTTCGACGTTAGCAAACCTCTGCGTGTGAGACAGCCACACATGTGATTGTGGGACATGACTCATCAGTTGGCATGCGCATACCTGACGCGCGAGAATTCTCCTAGTTAGTGGTTTAACTTTACTTAAGGAGAGAACCGATGCGAGAAATGAACCGAAACATCGCAACAGCTAGTGAGCGAAACAAACGAAGCATTTGCTCGGATCGCAACATCGCCGTCTTCTTTAACGAGCAAAGCATGCATCCATTACCTTCATTCCCTTTACACTGAGCAGCATATGGGTCTGCGCGTGCCAATAATACCATACAGGCAGAAAGTGTGTCCTTTTCGCATCTGGATAAGAAGGAGGTGCTATTCCTCGGAGTCTCCGGCAAAGGTGCATGGGATGTGGCCTCTCGGCAGTGACACTTGGCTGGACAATCCCGTGAGCTGGTCCAACATGGACGGCGTGATCGAGTGTCCACGCCGCTCGAGCATCGGACTCCTCCAGCTAGCAGCCAGAAAGGCAGCTTCAAGCTTCCCCCTTGCGCCCTTCAACTCCAGGAGTCGCAAGGTGAAACATCAGAAAGTTCTGGCGGCTATATCCCCAGAATTTCCCAGGCTTGGCAGCTAGGAACCTGCTAGTGAGCTGCAGCGTCATGTGCTTGGGATTGGAAAAGTCCAGCCACACACTGTGTCCTGACGAGTGGAATTTCAGCAGCCAAGATCGATGATTTTGAAAGATCCTACTTCCACCCCGCGGTAATACCATCAGTCAGACAACTGGGTTTCTTGGATCTTTCATCCCAGCCGACTAGCGCTCCGCCACATCACAGCTGCGCAACGTGCATCTGTGTCTTGTGAAGATTGTGACAGCGCTTTCTTGCTTTTCGACCCGGCTGCCCAGTCCACAGCCAACGATGGACCTGAAATCTGGACAAGGAGTCCGTCAGCACCGTGCAGCGGTCTGAGCTTTGGATGGATCGGAAAACGAAAGCAGGCGGTTCTTTCCTAAGGCCAGTGTAACCATTGTGCCGAACTGCATGGATAAGCGCGTGCACTGGGACTCCTGTCCTAGATATGAAGCACTAGCACGAGCAAACATGCTACACAGCCCAGCTTCGCATGGGCACAGAACTACAAGCTGCTCAGCTCCAATCATACGGGTGTCCAGTATTGTATGACAATCGACAAAAACACTAGCGTGTGCTGAGCAAGCAAAGCCATATTACCAGAAATCTGCCCCGGGATCCGGGATGAACTGAGAGGCATACGCAGACCAAAACAAAGGTTCCGCCTGGAAATGATTGCTCTTCAGCATCTTACTCGTCTTACGCAGGCCCAATCTAGCCGAGTCGTTGCGAGAAATCTCTGAGGTTTAACCCTGGATCCTGCTCTAGATGAGCCATGCACTTTTGCATGACACAACCCAGAGTCCTCTTCTTTGGCAGGAAAGCTGAGACAAATGTCGGCAACTTTCGAAACAGGGACTGCCCGTTGGCAGCGTTAGGACTCAGGCATAAAACATACGTTATGGACCTGACTCCTAGGCTGGAGGCGAGTCAACAGGACTTCTTCCTGCGTTTACATGGTGCGGCGCAAAGAGGATCCCCATGATGCCTCCATGCAGCACCTGACACGGCATCAACCTTTCACAGTGTTGCAACATGTTGCAACGTTGCTGTGCAAGTCTAAGTAGCCGTCGCAGAACGTCTTGGACGTTCATCATCCGCTAGGATCCTCGGCACTCGTGTATCCAAACCGTCTCGGCCTGTCTCGGCGGATCAGCGCAAGCTCCCACAAGCAATCTTGTAAGTCCTTCGGTTGTCGATGTCAGCTGCCTCAACAACGGCATGGTATGGAGCCGGATACAATTCTACTAGGGGTTGACGATACAAGATCGTGAGGCTTCGTGATGCAAGGACGTCCATCGACTGATCATGGAGATTCATGGAGATTAAGCGAAATTGCTTCGTGCCCTTGGCTCAGGCTCCAAGAGTAGCAAACGAATGAGGATGCTGGTGCAGTGGTGTGCGGGGCGGCCACTCCTCGTGTGTGGGATTGTGTAGGGCATCCGGCTGGCGACAGAATGGATGAGTGCATGAAGGAGAAGGGGATACTCTAACTTACTCTAGTGCAAGCGGAATCCACCAGAAGGTGTCTCGGAATTTCCACGAGACCAACCTCACACAAGCCTTGTGAATGCAAACCGGTGCTGGAGCGACAACGCACATAGCAGAATCGACACGCGAAAGAGTCCCGGTGTGTGGCTTCTTCATGGCGCTTCTCGCTTGTCCAGATTCAAGATGTTGCTAGGCTTCCCACTCTGAACTTGCCATCCTGATGGGTCCGAGGGGACTTGTGCTCGGAACTTCTCGGAACTGCTCTTACAAAAGGTCACCATCTCGGAAGTCCTTGCCAAAATCTGTGGGACGGATTCCGTGAAGCGGCTCATGGCCTCACAGCTACACTGGGAAGATCTGTGAAGTGAAGAGAATGCCATGAAGTGCCACTCAACTCGGCTCGTTCACTACGCATCATTCCTCGCCTCCGAGTGTTGTCTCAATGCCATGGGCAGTGATTGCCCCAAAGCCATCAAAGCTTCTGTGCTCTTCGCGATCTCCTGAGAGCGCTAGGCCGCTAGGTCCCTGCCCATTTTGAGTTTTCGCATGTGCACGTGACTGGCCCAATCCAATGCAGTCAGAGCTGCACCCACATGCTGAGCAGCAAGGGCGTACACCGTGGCCTGCCCAAGCCATCAGCCAGCTTTCTGGAAGAAACTCGCTCTTCCAGCAAAGGTACGCATGAGACATGAGAAGCACATGGAACAAGCGAGACAAGCCCATCACTGCTGTCTGCTACTGATGCTGTACTTCTAACGGATTCTCACGCAGTCACTCTTCACGGCAGTCCATCGACACGCCAACTTTTTGGGACACACACACTAATGATACGGCAGGGAGCCGTCCACCTGAGGAACTCACGTGACTCAACTGGCCCGCGTGAAACAACTGTCATGCAGCATCAAAACAGCGACCAGTGAGGCCTCTGGCTCCGCCACCTTAGCAGCAAATTCCATGATCCCATGGTCAAGGTCCCAAGCAAACTCAACTGTGGGAGGGACCGATACCTAGGCAACTGCTGGGTCGCGTGAAGGCAAACGTTCATGTCTCTCTCGTCTAGCCAGCTAGTCGTCTAGCTTGTACAATGAGTTGGCTACACCGAAGATTACCAAGTGCTGACATGAACCAAGTCTCCCCAAGCTTGAGCTCTTCGGGATGAAGGGTAGCTTTCTCCTCAAGGTGACCGTACATGACATTACGTGGATTAGTTGCACATTGGACGCACCATGAATTTTCCAACCTCGAGGACCCTCAGTGACGGCAGGTCATCCTTGATCTCGCCCATATCCTCGAGAGGGGCTGTCGAGTTCCATCTGCATGCCATGACAAAACCCATGTCCGCAACAGTCACGGTTGAGCCACCTAGCCGGAGACAGCGAGCTGCCAGCAAGTACTGGGCTAAAAGGTGGCATTCCAATTCGTCTGAGTTTGCGCATTCCTACAACTCGGCTCTCACTGAGCCAGCCTTTGTACCAAAGGTGCAAGCAATTGCTGTCCAACATTACCGTACACCGAGAACACGGCTCTCATGTGAGTGTAGCCTAAAGAGGATTTCGCTCATTGTTCGACATGATCTTGACAACGCAGCTCCTCGGAGGGCGTTGGCAACGCCTGAAGCCACTGTTCGAGATTTGCATTCAGACTGTCTGCCCACAGCCAAGCCTCTTCCAGCTTTTTCTCGGGCACACAAAGCGAGGCCTGACAGCGATTCCACCCTACAGTACCAGCAATGTTGACAGCGAGCTGTTGCTCTCAGCAGGTCAAGGATCTGTGTGCAGGGCTTCCACTTCACCATCCTCTTCCAGAGATAGTGTCTCGAAAACCTGCGATTTTGTATTCAGCTCGCTGCTCCTAGATCACAAATTTGCACAAAGTCGCCCATAAGTGTGAATAGACTCAATTCAGCGACTACGCCTAGATTCCCGAAACCCCATAACTCACGAACTCCATACTGTGCATCCCTCACAGGCGCATGCAAGAGCTCTTCACACATTACTCTGCTTACGCACACTTTATGAGTTGTTTCGTTTTTTTTGTTCGCTTCTCAATATTGCTCTTCGTCTTATGATGTTTCTTATTTTCGTTGCTTTCTTTCGTGATTATGTTTCTGCCTTTCCGTATCTGTTTATGTCGTTATTCAATTTTATCTGACGCGGTCTCTTTCTTTCCTTCTTTCTGGCCATGCCGAAGTGGCGGCGCGCAGGTAGGGCCGAAGGGTCTTCTTCTGCTGGGGTAGAGCCGGCAGGGTCCCTTCTGCCTGGAGGACTCGAAAGTCCTCTGCGGAATGTGCACCCGAGTCACGTGACTGTTCGTGACACTCTCAAGGACGATTTGTCTCTTTTCATATGTTTTTGTCTTTTCTGGTTTCGCTGACCCGCCAGGTGGCGGCAATGCCTCATGCTCGACGTGGCAGATCCGGGCGTGGCGACAGGGAGGGAAGGAGGAGCTTCGTGATCCCGTGAGAAGCGAGTGGGTCAAGACCTTGGCTGTGCGTCGAATGTACTGCAGGCTCTTGCCAGTAATGCGACGTCGGCTGCGATTGAAGTTGGAGGCCGTTGACACGTGCTAACGGCCCCTCAATGTACAGGGCCATGAGTGCCGCCTTGCGTCCACGGTGGCGGCCGCATAGGCTTCGCAACACGTTGTCACCATCCATCGGCAGCGAATTAATGGCTCGGGGACTTAAGCGACAAACTCCCCCTGTTCCCGCTTTACCGCCTGGGACTAGCTTATGCTAATTTGCTGCGTGGCCCAAGCCAGGGGGGAGATGTCGACTTGAGCCAAAGTGGCTACTTTCTTGTTGTTTATGTTTTGCTTTGCCTTTTTCTTCTTCTTGCTATTTTTTGTTTATTATTCGGCGGCGTTTTATTCCGTGTCCTCCATTTTTGTCTCTTCTTATCGCTACCCGTTTTTCTGTCATCTGTCTCTCCCTCTCTCAATCTCTCTCGCGGTCACGCTGAGGCACGCTCATACTCTCACTCCCAAACACGAGATCAGTTAAAGATAATGCGAACCTTGCTGTCACTCTTCTTCATCACACCACAGCCGGGCCCAGGAACAACGAAGCACCTCCAAATCGGAGATCATGCAGCAGTCCGTTCCGCCAGGTGTCAAGAAATGTCAAGAAAGTATCACTGGCTTCAAGATTCCTAGTTCGACAGACATCAAGCACCGAGAATTTGCAAGCGAAAGCACAAGCAATAAACCTGCTCACTTGCGTCTCCCTCATTCCAATTGCTTCCCGCGCTTTGACTTTGGGCTTGCAGCAACTGCTCCTACCAATTCGCAGTAGTCCTGATGAACGTATTGGAACTCGGCCACACCCGAGCTGCGCACAATGAGAAGACCAACACCGCTCAACAAACATCCTCAACAGCATGCACGAGCATCTGAACTGTGCGGGTAGACTTACTGAGACAAAAGGGGAAGGTGTCGCTTGACATTCCATTGCTTCGGACTGGAATCTCCACATCTTGAATTCGCTCGGAGGCTAAACATCTGCTGCACCTCAATTCGTCAATGTGCGTCTTGGCGTTGGGCTTTATGCTCGGCAGGTGATCTGACATCCTGGGTGCAGACTTGGTGCAGCAAGACTGGCGCAAACTCCTCTGGTGACACTGCCACTGACAGTGATGACTCCAAGCCATGCAAAGCCATGCTAAGCCATGTGCTCGTGCAACAGCTGGAGCAGGCTGAGATTCATCTCCTGTTGGCTGATTGCAAGCGGGTTTTGTGTTTGACGAAGCTTGATAATCGAACGACGCCTTCTGGAAGTGTTCTAGCGGAAGATCGTTATCATCCTGACCAAAGGGCATTTCGAGCTGCGCAGCCACCTGTCATTTGCACAACAGGTCTGCGACTTTTCATGCTCGGATATTTCCTGGTCCAGCACAAGGATCTGTCCCGGACTTCGGGCTCATGCAGACCATTGCGCCCACACGGCTGGCTCAAGGCTATGGCAAAATGAGATGTCCAGGGCTCGCCTGGTTCAGAGCAAACATGCCAAACACAGGAACGAAGGTCACCTTGGGCAGTGGCATGGGCGACGCATTAGCAATTAAATGCGCAACGGAATGCTCCAACAACCCCCAATGCAGAAACGTGAAGAAACCAATACCCGTTGCGTACTACTGCAAACATTGGCTTGCATGATCGAACTGAAGCACTTGCATCTCTGCACACTGATTGCCGCGAAATATTTACTTCCATCTGCGAGGCAACTGCGTCCCTGCCCATCACATCCAAGCAGACCCAGCGACTGTTAGCGACTCAATTACAAATCATTAGGTTGACAATCTTCTCATTGGATCTGGGTGGCAGGAATTGCCCACTGGTAGCTCGTCATGAAGGACGTCACCTAAACTGACAGCTTCACTGCAATCTGAAAATGAGGATCCTACAACATGTTGCCCCCATCTTCTTGGTTGTCTTGCCAAGCGGCCACGCACGGAGTGAAAACAGAGTGCACAACCAAGAGGAGCATGATAATTTGCGCCCACGGGAAAGGGAAGTTTGTATCCTGTCAAGCAGGCCCCAAACAAATCCGTGCATTTTCATGCTAAGTGCTTGCAACAAGACTACAAGGCACCTTGATCTTCACGGCATTCCTGGCTCCGCTTGTGACCAACATGCTTACATATGTTTACACATGTTCATGTGTTTTGGCAATGCAGTGTAAGTGTGCATTTTGAGAAGGACGGGCTCCCTGCAACCAAGCAGCAACAGATTCACAAACCCTCGCGACAGAGTCTGGTACACTCCTGGCAGTTCGTGCAGCGACTTTGATGAATCCTCTACATCTTACACAGGAAGCGTCTGCTCACCACCACATATCGCAGGAAGACAGCAAATTGTTTCGTGACATTTGCCTTGTTCCTTGTCTTGTAGACTTGCGAGACATGCGAAGCAGCACAAGCAGAACATCATGTGGAAATATCCGCTGACCCCCGGGTCGGCGCCAGTGAAACCTTTGTTCTGCTTGCCCTTGGCTCTTCACATTCTACTTCTGAAGAGCTCCAGTCTACGCCCACGCCCTCACCGTCACCACCACTCTCCCGCCCACCGCGCCCGCGCAAACTTACCTCTTTCATAGGGAATGTTGAAGAGGCTCCAGCCCCCCCCCCCCCCCCCATCGCGGGAACCTCGTTCATAAGATCGTGCTAAACGGCTCCACGCGACCCTCACCGCTCTCACCACTCCCTCTACAAAATGGAAACAGGAACCATCTATATACCCTGCCCTGCCATGTACCCTCCCCCTGCCCCCTACTCCCTAGTCCCTCTGCCATGTAAAGACTACCTCACCCCCTACACCAACCTGACCGCCTCAGACCTCCTAGGGAATGGAAGGTGAAGTGGAGCCTCCCCCTTACTTGGGGCGTTTTAACTCCTAAACCCCGAACCCTCACTTGAGGGATGCTGTTCTCGTTCTCGGGGTACACAGCGTCGGCTCCAACACTCTCCCTGGCTTCCATCCTTGCTTAAGGAATACACCTTGTAAAGTGAACTTTAAGTAGGGTTTAGGGCTTTCTTATATTCTGATTGTTTATGAATTAAGAGGCTAAACTATATAGGAATCCGTCTTATGATGTTCCCGAATTAAGGGGGTTCCCGGGGCAAATCATGGATGAGCCAGGATGTGGAGGACACAAGGCATGGATGGCAGGGCGAGGTGAACCTCCAAAGTAACTCAGGGTTTAGGGTAAGGGGTTTGGGGTTTAGAGTTTCGGGTCCCGGAGCCTTATTCCAGGGAGCCCCATCTCTGTGGAGATCGGTGGCACGTGCGCTGGCCCTTACCATATAATCCTCAAACCCATCTTGTACCATCGTGCTTCTCATCTGCAGCTACGATGATCAATGCTCGGCCCAAGCACGCGAGAGGATGGGCGGTGGAATGTCCAAAACACCTGTTTGGGATTCATAGATGCAGGATACACTCTCAAGCGGTCTGATGCAACGTGCAAGCAGCATTGTGGCATTGTATACATGCAACTTGCCTATGCGCAGATTGTGCGTGATGAGAACCTGATCAGAAGACGACTCTCCACCCGGGAAGGAGTAAGAAAAACTGTCCGCAACTTGGCCTGGATCATGTGCTGCAGCGCGCATACCTCATGCTAGCGCGAGCTGACTTGCTTTACTCTACTTTGCTGCAACGGCGATTCGATTAACCTGATGGTTCTGCATGTTTGTGTGCTTCGGACCTTGTTCCAATCGTACTTCAGCTTGCAGTCACGCAGGATCCGCCTGGGCAGCAACGGCAGTGTGATGCAAATTTCGCCAGTGGGGATCGGAACATGGGACAAAGCTACGGAATGCATCCAAACCACAAAGTTGCGGAGTCCAGTGACATGACGTCGATGGTCTTTCAGGTACGGCAGTCACAAGGTATTCGCTCACACGGACCAGACTCATTGCCCACTGCTGCCGCATGCTAAGATTCTTCCAAAAAGGCCAACCTGGTAGCTGTCATCCTTGCTGCCACTAATCTCGTCCTTGCAGGCGCGAACATGCGCAAAACTATGTAAGCTGAGAGCTCCTCAGGCAGCGGTAGGTCTGCCAGGCTTGCGATGTCAACGTGAACCGTGAACCGAAAGGCGAAAAAACGATTCATAGCAAGAGACCTACGCTCGAAACTTGAACATAGTATGCATAAGGCAACCTGTCACACACCTTTAGGACTCGACACATGTACACAGGCAAACTGATCCATTCTGAAAGGGCCCCATTGTTGTACTTTGCTACTTTGATGTCTTGGGAATCCTGAGGCAGCTGCCGGCTCTGCGACTGCAAAGAGCTTTAGTGACTTTTGCACTGAGTACCGGATTGCTCCCCACTCCCCATGCAAGAAAAAACTAAAGAAGACTGGAAATCAATTGACTCAATTGTACACCTCCAAAAGCCCCTGCTTTGGCATTGGACGTGCGCACCTCCACCTCATCTCATGTTCGTCTGGTCTTGCAAAGCATACCCGAGCGTACTCAGTCATAGTCCTTGTATCTCCTCATGCTCCTTTCCTTCATGACAAGTTCAGCTTGACTCCAGATGCGACCATCGCTTGGACTCTCGTTAGGATCAAATTTTGTGTTCGAAAAGCGTACTGAATGCATGTGGTGGACGGCTGAGGGCTCCAGTGGGAACCTTGGTGCACTTAATCCTAATTTTGGTCTTCGAGAGGCCGGAACACAGTTGCGCTGAGCACCACCCAGGTACATGCCCAACCATTCTGCAACCCACCAGTGTGTCTCATCCATTTGCATGACCTCGTCACCTCCGTACACTGATTAAGGCTTTTGTGCTGGCAAGCCATGGTGTGCACAACATGCGACTCGGAGAAGGACATGGCAATCTCTGCATGGTTCGATTGAGGCTGCTGCGAGGGCCGAGCCGTGCATCAGGGATGTCAAGCGAACCAGGGTGTGCCGGAACTGCATCACTTCCTGGAGAGCGGTGGCCACTTAGGGACTCTCCAGCAATGCACAGCACAATGTGAAGCACAGTTCCTGCACAACCGGCACCAGATGTTTCTTCGCAATGCTGGTGCTGAAGCATGCTTCTGAAGCATGCTGATGCATGCAGAAGCATCCGTGTAAAGAGTTTCTAAAACTCATGCTTACCATGGCTTAGCACTCGTGTTGCCTGTCGCTGTGCGACTGAGCTCTGCAGTACATGTTCTCAAACGGCAGATGTCTTACCAATTCTTTCTTCTGAGTGGTGTGGCGAGGAGTTCGTCGACGTCATTTGAAAGTCTAGGTCACCCTGATAGCTGATTTTTTGCTGGTCTTGCTTTTATTGGTAATTTGGTTCGCCTCCCTTCCTTGCAAGCAGGCAAAAAGCAAGTCACCAAGATTCATCAAAGCCGTCAAACCAACAGCTCAAGCGTGCTGCTAGCTCAGAACCTCAGAAGGTTAACTCCCTCACCAGCAATGCTTCGGGACAAAGCATTGCGAATTCATGAATCCTCCTCGCTGCGACACAGTGCGACATTCAGCTCCGGCGATAGACAGCTGCAACGCCGCTCAGGCTCAGAAGTGTTGTTGGTAATTCCTCACCTACATGCTTCAGCATACGTCGTGACAGCTTCGTTGAAAGCAAGCTGTAAGCTCAGAACCTCAGAAGGTTAACTCCCTCACCAGCAATGCTTCGGGACAAAGCATTGCGAATTCATGAATCCTCCCCGCTGCGACACAGTGCGACATTCAGCTCCGGCGATAGACAGCTGCAACGCCGCTCAACCAGCTCAGACTCAGAAGGTGTTTTTGGAAATTCCTCACCCACATGCTTCAGCATGCTTCAGGACAAAGCATCGTCTTCCTTGCAAGATCTTGCAAGCAAGAAAAGCACAAGTCACCAAGGTGTTCATCAAGCCCGCCAAACCAACAGCTCAACCGCGCTGCTAGCTCAGAACCTCAGAAGGTTAACTCCCTCACCAACAATGCTTCGGGACAAAGCATTGCGAATTCATGAATCCTCCCCGCGGCGACACAGTGCGACATTCAGCTCCGGCGATAGACAACTGCAACGCAGCTCAACCAGCTCAGACTTAGAAGGTGTTTTTGGAAACTCCTCACTCACATGCTTCAGCATGCTTCAGGACAAAGCATCGTCTTCCTTGCAAGATCTTGCAAGTAAGAAAAGCACAAGTCACCAAGGTGTTCATCAAGCGCGCCAAACCAACAGCTCAACCGTGCTGCTAGCTCAGAACCTCAGAAGGTTAACTCCCTCACCAGCAATGCTTCGGGACAAAGCATTGCGAATTCATGAATCCTCCCCGCTGCGACACAGTGCGACATTCAGCTCCGGCGATAGACAGCTGCAACGCCGCTCAACCAGCTCAGACTCAGAAGGTGTTTTTGGAAATTCCTCACCCACATGCTTCAGCATGCTTCAGGACAAAGCATCGTCTTCCTTGCAAGATCTTGCAAGCAAGAAAAGCACAAGTCACCAAGGTGTTCATCAAGCCCGCCAAACCAACAGCTCAACCGCGCTGCTAGCTCAGAACCTCAGAAGGTTAACTCCCTCACCAGCAATGCTTCGGGACAAAGCATTGCGAATTCATGAATCCTCCCCGCGGCGACACAGTGCGACATTCAGCTCCGGCGATAGACAACTGCAACGCAGCTCAACCAGCTCAGACTTAGGAAAGGCACAAGTCACCAAGGTGTTCATCAAGCCCGCCAAACCAACAGCTCAACCGTGCTGCTAGCTCAGAACCTCAGAAGGTTAACTCCCTCACCAGCAATGCTTCGGGACAAAGCATTGCGAATTCATGAATCCTCCCCGCTGCGACACAGTGCGACATTCAGATCCGGCGATGGACAGCTCCAACGCCGCTCAACCAGCTCAGACTCAGAAGGTGTTTTTGGAAATTCCTCACCCACATGCTTCAGCATGGTTCAGGACAAAGCATCGTCTTCCTTGCAAGATCTTGCAAGCAAGAAAAGCACAAGTCACCAAGGTGTTCATCAAGCCCGCCAAACCAACAGCTCAACCGTGCTGCTAGCTCAGAACCTCAGAAGGTTAACTCCCTCACCAGCAATGCTTCGGGACAAAGCATTGCGAATTCATGAATCCTCCCCGCTGCGACACAGTGCGACATTCAGCTCCGGCGATAGACAGCTGCAACGCCGCTCAACCAGCTCAGACTCAGAAGGTGTTTTGGGAATTCCTCACCCACATGCTTCAGCATGGTTCAGGACAAAGCATCGTCTTCCTTGCAAGATCTTGCAAGCAAGAAAAGCACAAGTCACCAAGGTGTTCATCAAGCCCGCCAAACCAACAGCTCAACCGTGCTGCTAGCTCAGAACCTCAGAAGGTTAACTCCCTCACCAGCAATGCTTCGGGACAAAGCATTGCGAATTCATGAATCCTCCCCGCTGCGAACCAGTGCGACATTCAGCTCCGGCGATAGACAACTGCAACGCGGCTCAACCAGCTCAGACTCAGAAGGTGTTTTTGGAAACTCCTCACTCACATGCTTCAGCATGCTTCAGGACAAAGCATCGTCTTCCTTGCAAGATCTTGCAAGCAAGAAAAGCGCAAGTCACCAAGGTGTTCATCAAGCCCGCCAGACCAACAGCTCAATCGTGCTGCTAGCTCAGAACCTCAGAAGGTTAACTCCCTCACCAGCAATGCTTCGGGACAAAGCATTGCGAATTCATGAATCCTCCCCGCTGCGACACAGTGCGACATTCAGATCCGGCGATGGACAGCTCCAACGCCGCTCAACCAGCTCAGACTCAGAAGGTGTTTTTGGAAATTCCTCACCCACATGCTTCAGCATGGTTCAGGACAAAGCATCGTCTTCCTTGCAAGATCTTGCAAGCAAGAAAAGCACAAGTCACCAAGGTGTTCATCAAGCCCGCCAAACCAACAGCTCAACCGTGCTGCTAGCTCAGAACCTCAGAAGGTTAACTCCCTCACCAGCAATGCTTCGGGACAAAGCATTGCGAATTCATGAATCCTCCCCGCTGCGACACAGTGCGACATTCAGCTCCGGCGATAGACAGCTGCAACGCCGCTCAACCAGCTCAGACTGAGGAGGTGTTTTTTTGGAGTTCGCTACATCATGCCTGATTTGACATGCCCGGGGATGGCGAGTGTTTACGGCTTGCAGAAAAATGTGGGGGTGGAGCTGGGCTTGACAGGAGTCCTGGCCAGGCGAGTGCTTACAAACACCCAGTGGCTTTTCTTTATGCATTCTGAAATCCTGGACTGTCTAAGACTCGTGGGAAGTAATGTCGAAGAGTGCTGGAAGTTTGTAGCTTACTGACACTGAAGAATGATGGTTGAAGATTCTCAGCAGGATGTCGTACAAGTTTTGTACTGGGCGCAGACTCTCAGAAAACAATGGCCTCCTAATGATCTTCAAAAGACTTGAGAATAAAACAAACAAAGCTCATCCTAAGATTCCTTTTGCGAAAGATGATGCCCTGCACCCGTTCCCAACCGGGCGTATGCCGCGTGGATTTTTCGGGTCTTTCGGGTTGGGGGGAGGAGGCCAGCATTCTTGAGTAACATCCAACATCTCAGTCCATCTTTCGCCAACCCAAATGCTTTCTGAGCAAACTCTTGCTGCTGAACAACCGAGCGAGGCAAAGGTCTCTAAGGTCTCTGTCCCACCTGACGATGCGTACAGAAAACTTCTGAAACCCATGGAAAATCTTCGAGGGGAGTTGCCCCGGTGCCCATCCTCATGCTTCGTGGCCAGCGCATGCCTGGTAAGCAAGTCCAACAGCCCATGGAAAGCACAGCGAAAGCACAGCCCATGCATCCGACGGCACACTGCAAGAATGACAAGCTTCCCTCCACTTGAGAAACTGCGCTCATGCCCCGCCTCGAGAACGAGAGAAGGCAGCTGACGGAGTCAAACCACTCGCCTAGCCACGGAGAGAAAAGTGAGAGATGGAATGAGATGGAATGAGATGGAATGAGATGGAATGAGATGGAATGAGATGAAGAGTGAAGAGTGATGAGTGAGGGGACATGGGGGCTCGAGTATCTTGCCTCGCATCTGGTGTATCAAGCCGGTCCCCTCCTTAGAAAAAACGCTGCACAGTGCTGCAGTGAATGTGACAAAAAAGTCATCCAAACGAACTTGCTAAGTATAGCTGGCGTTTTCGATGTCTAGCGATTGAATGACCTTCCTGGATTGCACAAGGAGCACGAAAGCGCTGTCACGCATGCAGGACTAAGTTGTATTGCTCCATATGCTCAATGTTGCTGCGGTTGCAGCTGCCATTTGGTGTTGCCAAACAGGGCTCTTAGTGGGCCTCTTTCGACGCTCTGACGCTACGCCGCTACGCAGTGCGAGCCGACATTTGCAGCCTCCAAGAGGTGCACAGACTCTTCGGACGCTTGGGCCGCTTGCGGCTTGAGCACAGCAGCGAATGGGACAGACAGGCAAGCAGACAGAACAGACGGAGGGAGACAGATCGAGACTGCGGTCACGAGTTCGACTGCACAACTGGTGAACCACATGACACACTCCAAGGACAGACAGTGGCAATGCTGAGTCATCGCATCTGAGCTCACCAAATACGTAACCGAGATGCCCAGAAGCGCCCCAGAGCTTGTCTTGTGCGAAAGCTTATCAAAGTGGTCAGCGTCACTGTCATCGCGCTCCAAACCTTCAACATGTCAAAGGCTTCCACTGAAAAAAACTGTCGCACCTGCTTGTCCTCCCTTCTCCGCTAACCGACCTGTTACACGAATTTACGAACTCAGCTCCGCTGGACTCTGTGGATTTTCTCCTAGCCTGCAGCAAAAGCAAATATGCTCGACCTGCAAAAACAGTGAATCGACACATGTAACGACCATCTGCACACTGGCCCCAAGGCGAACAAAACCAAGCTGATAGCAACAAGCTGACCAACAAGTTGACTCAATGTCACAACCAAGCACAACCGAGACCACGCAGAAATGCACATGGCAGGGCCTGGCTCTTGCTCAGGTCGCCCTGGGTGATGGCAAGACTTATAGAATCTTATGATTCATGGTCCATGACTCGAAGATCACGCTATATTATGACATCGCTAATCGCTAGTTGTTTGGGCGAAAGAAAGCCTACACGTGAATCCCGAGGGCTCCACCGCAATGTTGGTAGAGGTAAACTCGTCTTCGGCATTCTGTTGGAGGGCGATCAGCAGAAATGCCAGGATCACTGAAGGCAACGAGCAAAGCACAGCCTCGGCCAGCCGCCAAAGAGGATTCAGATCAGTAGGCAGAGTATGCAGAGTAGGCAGAGTATGCAGTATGCAGAGTATGCAGAGTATGCGTGCTTCCTGTTACTTCCTTGAAGCAAATCTCCGCCCATGTCTTCTTGCTTCCTTTCGACATTCCAGAATTCGCTACATCACTGCATAAGCACCAAGCAAAAACAGGATTGGTCTCCAGTACAGTGATATTCGATTGCCTGACCACCTGGACGCCTTGTAGTTACAACTTGTTTTTTCGAAGCTATGCAGCTGATGCTGACAGGCACCCAACCTTTAAGACCCCATCCCCGAAGTCCGCAACCCTACCCGTTAACCCCAGAAGCCCGGACCACAAACTCGGGCCACCTCGCCCGTCACTGGGGCTGCTTTACAGCACAAGCGCCACAGATGAGACCTAAGGACCTATTGTACATTCCAATAAAGATGCCTTAAACCTCGTTTGGAGGGGACAGAACACATGTTCGATCTACCCCACTATCAGGAGGGAACATTCTGTTTGTCAGCTGATGGTTGTACACTCAAACACTTGCGCTCGAACAAGTCCTCAACGAACTATAGCAAGCAAGCTTCTGTAGGAATGACGGAGCCCTTCAGCTTGAAAAGCAGGTGCAATCCCTCCTTGGCAGGGTGCATCTGCTGCCCTATCCAAGCCTGACGGTTCTTGAAATGACAAGCATCCAGCGAAAGGCATCTTTGGTAGCCAGAAAGGCTCCCCTCAAATATGCGCGCCAAGATTCCGTGTATCGGATCATGCCGGATCGGCACTAACGACTCAACTGGATCAGGTGCTTCTTTGCAGATAGAGCTGCTTAAGAGGCCTTTTAAGAGAAATGCTCGCAAGTTAGACAGGTGCGGGTGCACAGCTAAGCAATCCTAGGTCCTACCTGCCTTGGCCAACCCCGCCAACTGCCACCCTTTTGCGCAAGGTCTCTCGGATTTGATGCTGCCGATGCTTGTGTTGTAAGTTGCGGGAACCTGCCCGTGCTGGGAGCCACAGGAACCCATGCGACGCCCATCAGCAGAAGAGACTAACCCGCAAGTTCTAGGTGCGACTGTTCACCCACTAGGCATTGAGGCCAGTACGAGGACCCTACGGCCCTACGGACCCCACCTACAACTTCCCCAGATTTGCACGAGCCACTGAACGCCTCTTGAAGCCTGTGCCCCGTGGCCAGGGCAGCCTCGCTGGCACAAGCCAAAACCTCTGCAGCGAAAGACGACTCAACTCACGCGACCATGGGAAGCACACACACACACACACCCATCCCCGAGCTTGAGGCATGTCTTCAGCTATGCGTTGCTTGAAGACGGCGTGCTACTGCCGGCTATCGAAACTATCAAGAGGCACCCTGGGGCCCTAAAGGCGGGATCATACCCCCACTCTCTCTCTCTCTCTCTCTCTCTCTCTCTCTCTCTCTCTCTCAGCATTTTTGCAGCACAAGGACCCTAAACCCCAAAATCCTGGTGTATGATGGACCACGGTTACCAAATCCTACAATCCCCGAATAGCCCCGAACGTTCGCCGCAAGCCAACAGATGCCTCGACCGCATCCTCTGTAAAGTTTGTGTGGCCACGTGCCCGAGCGTCCTGAAAACAGCTGCGTTAGTGCTAGAAGTGCTGCTCCGTTGCTCTGGCCGGCGAAGTTGCATGCTGATTCTTTCCTTACCTCGCTTCCTTCTTGCCTTCGTTCCGTGGGATGTTTGCTTCCCAATTTCCACCAGAAGAAACTAGAGCGGATAACATGGTTCCTCTATTCATTAACAAGAAACAGAAGTTTTGCGATGAAAAGATTAAGGAAATGGAAGTGCTCTCCTCAGGCTTCCAAAAGAAATGAAATAAAGGCTTCCGAGAAAAAACAGGAAAACGTTCCAAAAGCAAAACGATAAAGAAGCGACCGAAACCCCTGAACACACCTCTACACCTGCCAGCAGTGACCACAACCAGCTTCTTACGCACTTCTCCAGGACCTAGGAGCATGGCTTGCAGAGAAGCGAGATACAACCGACAACATCGCCACCCAGGTGCCCCACGCTGGTCCACAACACCTTTCGGAACCTCGTGCTCTAAATCGAAGCCTCTCCTGAAAACACCCTTGGACTGTCGACTTGGCCGACACATCCGACACATCCAACACATCGGCATCATGCAGTGCCTGTGAAGAACTTGGCAGTCCAAGGTCAAGAATCTCGCGCAGAGCCTGACCCAGGGCCCAGCACCCTGTCGGACAAGACTGCTCGGGGCCAATCCCCAGTCTCAGCTGCACCCAAGTGATACAAAGAGGTGCCCCCCTCCCGCCCCCCCCCCCCCAGAGTCTCAGATTTGGGAATAAGACTCTGACTGTCAAACTCATGTTGAGCCGCCATATGAGCCCGTGGCAGCCATGAGCTGCTGCGCCTGCCCCTTTCCAGCGCCTTTCGCTGCCCGAGCTATGCACCTGGCGGCATCGCAGCTGGCAAACCTCTCATCCCCAAGACGGCACGCCATCAGAGGTAAAGATATACAGCTCATGTCTGCGAGCATTGGCCCATTCTGTTCCTTCCCCATTTCCCGGCAAACGCACGACAAGCGAGAAATCTCGAGCGAAAGCAGGCAACACAAGTCTGCGTCCTCCGAAAAACTGCCCAGCGCAAAGGAAAACGCAAACACGAAGCTGCTGGGCAGGAAGTCAACCGGGCTCAAGACGCCCAGAGATGGGGAGAGAGGTTGTTGAAATCACACTCTAACGCTCTTGGCAGGTCTATTGACCTTGCTGCCTCACACGGCTCTCTACGCCTCTACGCCTAGCAAGATGATATGTTGGCCCCTGGCCTGCAACAGAAGCTTTGCCGCTGTTGACTGCTAGGGGCCGTCTGCCGTCTCGGTGAAACGAACGGTGCACTTGTGGAATCGAGTATCTAGCAAAGGGTCACTATGATCTTTGCGCTTGCGGCGAAAGCAGTGCACGATGGACTTGCAATGACTTGCGGGATCACTTCTAGCGTCTTGCTGCAATACGGACTCCTTCTCTTGAGCATCTGAGGAGACTCGAACTAAGAGATGGACTACTAGTAGGTGACTAAGTGGGTAACAGTGCTAGACTCTGCTCGAGATGTCCTTACACCGGCAATTACAGGCTCGACAGGGGCATCTTTGTAAAGAAGGAATCGGTTGGACATCTGCACACAGTTGCTGTGTCCCAGGCATCAGTCCACTCAAACTGGGCAAGATCTCATGTCCGGCATGTGCTTCTGCCAACTTACGTGCCTTGCCGTTTGTTGACATATCAAGCCATCAATGCTGAATCTGTGCAACAGCTGCTTGGACATGGATCGCTCACTGCCACTCGAGAATCATGCTGAACCAGGCGGACCGCAGCCAGCTTGACTAGAATTAAACTATAGCAAAAAAAGACGCATCACATGGGACTTTCGTCTGGAGCTTCTAAGCTACGCCACCTAAAGACTGGAGGCCCCCATGGAAAACAAGACATGTACAGCCCGATGCGACTCCCACGGAGAACTTGCTGGCACCGCTCGGCACCATTCAACAAAGCTCCGAAAGTTGCCTCTATCTGCCTTATCTGCCTTCGCTCTCTTGGGGCACCTTGGGGACTAGCAGTGCTTGGGGATGCTTGGGGTGGATGTGTTTGCGAATTTCGGCTTGGTCTCAACGCCGCAAGTGGCCGACGAGACATGGCGGCTTGAAGCCCTGAACAAACCAAATGGTGCCTCCAGGCTTGCTAGTTGCTGCTGTTGCTGCTGCTGCTGCTGCTGCTGCTGCTGCTGCTGCTGCTGCTGCTGCTGCTGTTGTTGCTCTTCTTGTTGTCGCTCTTGCTGTTGCTTGTTGCTGTTCTTGTCGCAGAGCTATTGTTGCTGACCCCCAGGCACTATAACTATACCCCCCCCCCCACTCCCATCCCAACAACAAACACAAACGAACCCTACACCCTGTGCCCATACGCAAATCTGTTTTGGATTCAGGCTTGGGACTCTGTCTGCAAGGGCTAAGGGTTCGAATGCACCCCTGCTACATAGCTGTTCTTGATGCTCTTGGCATCGGATAATATTAAATATTGATGATAACTGTTTGGCTCCTTCGCAACTCGTAGTATGCAACCTTCGGTGATGGCTGGAGAATCTGGGGTCAAAGCGTGGATGCCGGCTTTGGAGGTCCAGACAGGCAACCTTCTTTTCCTTGCTCCCTGAAGAGCCACGACTATGAAAGCCAAGACTACATAGCTTTAAGCATACATCCTGAAGCGGGACCTATCGACATCCACTTCGCCGGGGCTGGAGGCCCAGGTTTAAATACTGGGCGTCCGCGCACATTCTCCAACGCTTCCCTCCTTGCTCCATGGTCACATGTGCTGTGCCGACGAAATTTAAATCTTGGAAAGTGCCTTTTTCCTTTTGCAGTCTGCAACCCTGCGGAATTGGTTTCGACAAGCGGTCATCTACCATGGACTTGGGGCTCTCGGGTAGTTCGGAGCAGTGCTGGCCGCACTGGCTTGGAAACCAATGCACAGGAGACTCCCAAGGGCAGACAATGGAAGACGTCTCTTCTGAGACTTCCTGGACTGTAAGCACTGTAGCATCGAAGTCTGTTCAGCGAATCTCAGCGGCAGGAAGCCTCCTCCTGGCAGCGCAACATAGCGGAACGCTGGGCCCTCAAGTTGGAGTTCCCCAAGAAGGCGGACGAAAACTCCCGGGTAGCTCGAGCGATTGACAATTTTGCTAGTGGTGCTAGAACTCCCAGAGGCCAGGGCTCAATTGCTCAATTGCTCAATTGCTCAATGAAACTGAACAGCACACCATCCCTCGTTTGGCTTGGCCTCCATGACCTGGTCGATGTTCTTTTCCTTAGCCACTAGATGCCACTAGACGTTGTCGAAGGTGACGCTTCTTGTGTCTGCCTTTCTCGTCACTCCTTGACGGCACTCCCTACACGGGCGAACATGCCACCAGGGCACATATTCATCAATGGCTTGAGGCCAATAGAAATCACCTTGGTGCTCAGTGTGAAAGCAGACTCAACGACTCTACGAGTATGTCCAAGGGACTCAAACCTGGCTCAAACCACACAATCAGTATGAGTCGAAACCCACAAGCAAAGATCAAGACCTCCGCCGATCATAATGCCGAGGTGCTTTTGATTGCATTGGTTTGCATTTGTCGCCAAAGCGGTCTCTGATGCCGAAAGATGTCCATCGCCTGCCAAGATCCCAAATGTTCACGCGTACACGAAATGCGCAACAACCATGCTAAACCATGAAAGGTGCTTCCATCCTTGTTCTGGTTGAAAGCAACAACGACTGAGCTAGCCTAGTGGCCTACTGTCGGGTTTTCGGGCGGAGTTCTGCCTCACTGCCTCACTGCCTCGCCGTCATCGTCACATTGCCACTTTCTTGGCTACTTTTTGGGCCACCGAGTTCTCAGAAAAGCTTGTTTGCCAGTCTTCCAGGACGCAAGGTCCTAAAGAGTACAAGGCATAAACAGTATGAGGCAAAGATGGGGGCCGTTGATGGGAGAGGAGGAATTGGGAAGCCCATGGAAGCCCCAGGAGGAAGGCTCCATGCCTGGCCTGGTAGAGCCGCTCCTTGAGGTGATTGGCATCGAAGCCTCCAAACAGGAATCCGGTGGCCTCAGTTCTCAGTCTTATGTTCACCGTGTAAGAGGGCGCGCTCAGGGAGAGGATGTTTTTCACAGCTGATGGGTGCCCCTGCACAGTGTCTGTCGTGCTCCACACTCCACAGGCCACGGACCGAGTCCTGTGGCTCTGTGGCTGCTGTTGTATGGAGGACCAGAAGCAGTCAGCGCATGTTGCAGCAGAGATTCAGCATGCCGCTGCCACTACGGCCACTACAGGACTCTGGACAGCTCTTGGCAGTGACATCCAGTCCTTCAGACCTCCCGTCTCATGGACCACAGGGATTGTGGCATACCTCGGATCAAAAAACTGCTTGGCTTCTGGCTCTAAGCATCAGGAAACGAGTTGCACGATGTCTCAACTTGCATAAAGGTGCTGCTGCGCATACATCTGTGGCAGGCCGCATGGCTCGTACCTGGTGTATCCGCGTGTGAAGCAACATGGAAGTGTGGCTGCGCACATGCCATGCACTTTCTTTTGGAACTGAGAGAAACTGAATGAACATGCATGAGCTTCAGTAGTGTCAGCGTATGGCGCTTTCGAGGCGGCACTGAGAGGGCATTAGCAGAATATCGCATCCGGCCATCATGCGGTGTTCCACAATGGGATCAAAACCAACCTCGGCAGCTGAGTCCGAGAAACAAGGCACTCTGATGTTGCGCGGTCGCCCTTCTGCGCCATCCAAAGCATTCCACAGCTACACGGTGATCGGTCTGCCCACTTCACGGGTGGACGTTATTAGCACGCGCTTGACACGCAACGACAACGACTCCTCCTGATATCAGTCTACAGAGTCGCACCGAGTCCAGGGCGAATGCGCAAACGCGGCCCCGGTTGGAAGCCTAGCTGAGAAGCCAGCAGCAAGCGCTTATGCTTGTCCGGACAGCTGCCAGAATCTCCCGCAGGTAAACACGTGCAGCACTCAAGCACTCATTGCTTGAGAAAAGTGCGGAGCTTGAAAGAGAATAAAGAGAGCAGCTCTGCCTCCGTGGACCGGAGCTGCTCTTCGTATTTGACGTCGCCCTTGCCCATCAGCCTTCAAGACACATGAGGCGTAGAAATGCAGGAGCACGTTCACAAGACGTACAAACACTACTTCTTTTTCCACCCTCCTCTCAACTCCTCTCTCTTCCCTTCTCGCACATGACACCCCCCTACGTTGGACCTACATTCCGGGACACACACGCACACGCGCACTTGAACTCGAAAACATGCGGCAAGGGCAAGCGGAACAGGGCTACAGAGGGGCCCAGGGATGAACAGTGCTCAGCATCCCGCGCAAGCTGCACGTAGCCGTTGACCCCGTTTCCCTGATCAGGAGGTACTTGCATGGCGCTCACTTGCAGCTCTGTGGCTGCTACTCTACGCTGATCCCGATTGGAATGTCCTACGAAGACGGTGCTAGCTCGAAGGCATATTGCAGCATCTTGCAGCATCTTGCAGCAGCTCCAGCCTCATCACGCATCAGCCATGGGAGGCACTCCTGCGAAAGGACTCGTTGGATGAACACTCTCTGCAATCTGAGTATGTAAGGGCTTCCCAACTTACGCTTACGAGATTGAGCTTAAGTAAGTCATTCAACATTCATGGCGAGATCCATGTCGGCCCCAAGGTCCATAATGAGGTGGATCCCCTTCTGGTAGCAGAGACGGCCACAGAAGCCGATGAGGCACAGCTTCGGGTCCTCACAAACTCGGAGCATCTCAAGTCCGTTCTCTCCATCAGAATTTCTTGCTCCTGCTGGAGGCCCAGTTGGCGCTGGAGCTCAGCCTGGAAGCTCTCCACGAAGCACTCGACAATGCAACCTCTCCGTTCCCACCCTGCCTTGCAGCGCAGCTTGCCTTCCTCGAAGTTGCTGGGACCATATCCTTGGCAGTCTTGTAAATGCAACAGGCTAGATGTGGCTGCTCATGCTCGTACGTCACAACTGCACTCGGTATCAGAACAGAACATGCCCTCGTGAAGGGCACTGTACAGCCGCGGCTTCCCGAGCCCTTCCCAAATGGCGCAAGAACCCACAGAGAGACCAGGACCATAGGACTCTTCTGGGGCGGGGCTTTCTTTGCATAGAGACGGGGGGGACGCCCAACACTGTTGTGCAACACTGTGTTGCAGCTTCGCACCGCCTTTGCTGATGGGTGCTTCTCGAATGATCGAAGTGCCCCAAGAACTTTGGCAGAGAGGTCTGGGAGGAAGAACAGGCACTCCATCGGGGCAGGCCTTCCCGTTCTCTCACCACACGCCATGTGACATCTACGGCAGCGTCGGGCCACAACCCCGCCCTGGACTGGGCCGGACCAGACATCGAGGTGTTCGGTGGCAAAGTGGCCACACACACGTGCCCTCACATGAGCCAGCAATGTTTCAGGCACAGGAGCTGGTCCTCAGCGAGGACACCCTCGAAAGACTCCATACACAGAATGCTACCATGCAGAATGCGATGCACATCTGCTACCCAAAAGCTCCAGCGATTTCCACGAAGTCGAGACGAGGACGCTTTTGTTAGACAACCACTGGGGCCCGCACTCATCACAATATGGGGGTCGGTCATCGGGTTCCACCTGACTGAGAGAGAGAGAGAGACCGAATTACGCTTTCTCGCCAAAGGCCTCAATATGAAAAACAAACAGGCAGTCTGAAGACTCTGAGCTTTTGCACTCGTCGGAGATGCCATTGAGAATTCCCATGACCTCGAAGAAAATGACCAAAAAATGACATGAGAGCAAAAGACTACCAAAAAAAAACGTTGCCCAAAGTGATGGCACATGCGCGAGGGATCTTCTGCTCGGTGCTCGGTGCTCGGCTCTGTTCTTGGAGGCCTTGGCCTGGAGCGCCGAGTGGAGTCCAAGCCCACCTGGTGCACGCATTCAAGACAGCTAAGCTGAGTTAAGTTGAGCTAAACCAAGTTACAAAGAAAAAATGAAGCCAAAGCGATTTACCAAAGCAGTAGCACAAGACATCACACGACCCAGAAACCCTCCTCAATCCGGAAAGGGGTTAGTCACTATAGTCCATTGCACTCCCCGAGCCTCGAACTAAAGCCAGGAATTGCAACGGCTTTGCCATTTTTTCTTTTGTGCGAGCATGTGCAAGCAATGATTGGTGAAACGAACTTCACATTACCAGGGTGATGACCTCTTGGTCTCTCACATGCTGCAAACTGTAGCACCATCAAAAGTCTTGGGAAGTCTCCTGCAGCTGCTGTAGCTGTCCGTGATACTCGAAGTGCACATGTGCAATGATGTGCAGTGATGAGCATCACCGAGACCAGTTGACGTTCGCGGTTAAGGTTTCAACGCTAAGTGTCGACGAGTTTGGTTTTCAAAAACCCAGCGGATTCCGGCTTGGCTGTCTTGTACATCCAAAACCCGGCCATGCCCTGAAAAACCAATGTTGACACAAGCCAGGCAACCCAACTGGCCAGAAGAGTGTGGTACAGCCAGCTGGTGATGAATGCCTCGAAGAGTATCAAAAGCACCAGTGTGCACCCCGAAGCCAGCTCCAGGCGAAACCATCTTGAATCTGGATCCTGAAATTGAAAGGTCATAAAGAGGGACATCTCAATCTGGGCCATCATGCTGTTCAGGAGGAAGATGTGGTCAGAGAAATAATAGTTGTACGGGTGTAGAATAATGAAAGTGCCGATTCGAAGAGCTGTCATGATAGCCCAATACAAGATTACCGCAAGATGAGGCCCACGATCACCAAAAATGTTCGAATTCACCCTCCCTACAGTTCCTGTCAAGACCTGCACTGCGAGGAGAAGGTACGGCAGAAGTGGCCCTGTGCTGGAGATTAACTTGTTTACGTAAAATGCAACTTGTGGCAACCACCACGTTTGCTCCACCACAGCGTGTCCAATAGGTCTTTGGCAAGGTGTCTCAGTGACATTACGGCCTTTGCTCGAGCACATCAGGAGTGAGTCATCGTCAACAATATGTGGAAATACCGTGGCGAACAACAACACGATGGTCAAAAGCCCCCATGGCAGTGCAGCCAAGATGTGAGAAATGTCAGAAGCCATAGGTGCACAGGATCTACGAAGAACGCTTCTCCACTGTAGCTTCTGGAATGCTGCAGCACACCCTAAAGCTTTCCATGCGTCGCTGCAAAGTATTCCAAACCTCCAGAATTGTGGTATGTCATGGTCTGACTTCAGAGCCCAAAGCGCATAGAGTAAACTGACCTGGCCCAACAGATGCAACTTGCTCTGCAAGTCATACAGCTCGCCACAAGGCTTCGGTGCTGAGAGCTAAGCACCTGTGCAACATCGCACGATCCCTCGCCGTCCGCCCCACCCCTGCTCCTTCTCGTTCACTCTTCTTTCAAGTTCTGAGTTTTTGTTCTGGGAGTTGCTATGTCCTCGGCCCCAACTTTCTCTCAGTACTCTAACAGGTAGTTTAGAGCCCCTACTTCGCATTGACCTCCAATCCCATTCCTTCTCTTTTTGTCGGATGCCCTGAGTTCAATCACCCTTCCCCTCGCCTTCTGGCGTCTGAATCTCAAAGGCATAGTTGGGTGAGACCGTCCTTGGCAGCAGTCAGCGCTGGACATGCTCTCGGAAAGAGCCATGAGTCACGTGGGGGCTTTACATGACACCTTCACAAGAACTTTAAGGAGCCGACACCACACGATCTGCCATCCGGATGCCAGCACCCAAGAGATTCACGCAGTCCTCAAGGATTGGTGCAGAACTTTCTTCAAGTTTGTTCAAACCAACTTCCTACATGGAGCTAGGCCACACCGAGCACGACTGCAAAACGTTCCCAGGGACGACGAACACTTCCTACAAAGTGGCCGCAGCCTGAAGTGCCTCTAGCAGAACTTCCACGATTGCTGAGGCCCACTCTGAGCCGAAATGAAGATCTTCACCTTCCAAATCCTCCAGGTCCAAACAGCAATGCAGATTCGGTCTTCCAAGGGAAGAAGCTGATTTGGACGGTATCTGCCGACAACCTAACAAATCTTGATTCGCTTCGGGAATGCGTCGGTCGAATTACCCTCGGCACTCGCACCTGGCAAGCCTCCGCAGGAAGCCCAAAGAACCTGCAACAAAGCTTCGAGTTCACATGTGACTGACATCACCTTCTGCTTGCAGCCTGTCCATCGGGTGCTGGCTCATCCGATATTTTCCTGACCAGACATGGCAGTGCCACAACGCGCTGCGCAGAAGCAGCTGTCTCGAAAGTTGCTTCAGGTTTAGAAGAAAAGTTTTTTTCAGCATTGGCATCCGCTGCGCCGAGAACCCTGTTGCCGTGCTCGCGACTTTCACCTCCAACACCAGCGGCCTTGATAGCCCATATTGTGCAGCACCATGAGACATCTTGCCTGGTACGTTGCAGGTTGAGGCAAGACCCGGCAAGAAAACCACTACCACCGGCGGGTTGCAAGGCCTTGCGGTAGGTTCCGTTTCGCTTGTACTTGTAGAAGAGGTAGGCCTTTGACCAGATGGCACTGTGTTCCACTGGTTCGATTCACATTGATGGACGGCAAGGACCATTGAGAGTTCCGTGGCCCTTGCCGGGAGCATGCCGGTTTGCCAATCATTGGCAATGAAGCAGACCTTTGTTCAAAGAAAAGTTTCATCCAAACCGAAGGCGCGCGAGTGATCATGAGCCGAATCGAGCGAGCCTCTTGGCCGAAAATAGAGCCACCCAAATTCAGGACCTTGGAAGCACGCAGCATAATCATTTCTTTTGTGCAAACTTCCAGTACATCCCAGTACTGCACCAATGGACAACATGAACAATGGAACTCAACATTCCAAACAACAGCCATGGATACAAATTTGAATCTTGACATTGGCGATGGATTGGAATTATTTCGTCCACCCTCGAGGAGTGTGATGTCAGCCGTGGCTGAAACCTCAACATTACCGTGTGACGCCATCACAGCATGGGATTTCAATGCATCGCATGCCACATGGCATAGCATGACCATGTCTTACCTGGTACATCTCGACATGCACCAAACCATGCTGATCTGACCCCAAGGGCCAAAACCGGCTCGAAAACAAGCTTCAGAAATGGGAAGCCCTCCAAATCCGACAAACTCCTCAGCACAGCAGCTGAAGCTGTAAGAAAATCCGTGACCAAACCGTGAGCTTACATGAGGCCAAAAGATCAGCATCTGCAGCAACTTCACCGCTCACGTCAACAAACTCAAAACAGGACCCCACGCGACGTCGCTGCTCTCAGATGCGCACCAATGGTGCCTCTGTGGCAGCTACGCACAGCAAGGAGAACCGGAAGGCGTTGTCCTCATGCAGCATGCAGTCCAGAAATTGCTGGCCAGAGCAAACACCTGCCACTATACTTGATGCCGCTTGGACAGGTCTCTTCTTTTTTTTGTCAACCTTTTTCTCAGAACAGAAACCCCCGGTCCGGATACTCGCCACTGGTGGGGTCGCCGTAAAGTCCATGGGGTCGGTGGAAGCCTGGGTCAGAGACATGTGGGCACGTCTCAGCGTCACCGCTGCTTCTACGGAAGGAGAAAACCTGAAGGAAAAGCTGCAAAGGACTTCGAATTAAAAAGTTGGGGGGGAGAGCAGAAAGCTCAAGTCGCGCTCACAGTGAACACTTGCACCTGGGAGCACACTGGATGCTCAATGGATCATCTGACTCACTTGGGCAGGCGACAAGGGTGATCGACGAAGACGTAGTCACAGCCACGACCATTGCCAAAATCCTTCCGAAACAAGCAGACAGATTCACCCCAACAGTCAACATACCCCAAACACTCCATCCGTCGCCTGGCCTGGCGCTGGTGATAGAAAACCACCTCATGCTCCTGGCCAGCCAGCCAAACCTGCCGTCCAGAAAAAGTTTGCCAGAATCTGCTGCCGTCATCCGTATAACAGCAAACAACAAAACAAAACAAAACAAAACAAAACAAAACAAAACAAAACAAAACACGACGAGACAAAACAAAAACAAAACAAAACAAAAACAAAACAAAAACAAAACAAAAACAAAACAAAAACAAAACAAAAACAAAACAAAAACAATCAAACAATCAAACAAAACACACACACACACACACCAACACACACTGCGAAGAGACAAAGAACTGGTCAGACGCGTCCAGCAGTCTAGGGAGAAAGGCAACGCAGGCAACCCAGCCCGAACATTCTGGCACCTGCTAACAATCTAAAATAATCTAGATCTGCATCACTCGTCCGCATTGTGCCTTGGTTGAGCCGACTGGCTTGCAGTTTGTGTAGTTGCCGTATCGTGGAGTCACTGCCATGGTACGGTGGCCTGAACGGCAAGGCGAAGCAGGGCGAAGCTTGCAGATCCCTTCGGCAGCTGCAGAGGCGTCCTCGCATCGCAAATTCGTAGGCGTAGCTCTCCACAACCATCGCCAAGCCGCCTCCGAAGCATGCCTACACATGCCTACACATGCCTACACATGCCTACATATGCCCCCGTGCGACTACACCCTTTTTGGAAGCGAACACTTATGGGGCTATGGGGCACTTTTACACTTTTACAAGCCCCGCGCTTCGATGCAGCGCCTGTCTTGGACCAGGGGTTGATCTCTGACGAAACAACGACCACGGGTGTCGCCAGGTGCCGCGCCTTGGCATTGAACACACAGCCATACACACCCCCACACGCGTACCCACATGCACGCACATGCACACGTGCACACATAGAGCAAGCGGCACAGAGTGGCCAAATCCGAGGTCGCGTCGCCATAGCGTGCCGGGCGATCCATCACACGCTCCTGAAAGGCCAGATGGCAGTGGCTCCGAGAATCTCCAGGAACATCGAATGACATCCAATTTCAGGCTGTTGGTTGTCGCCATTGAGAGGTCAGTGAGACTTTAGGATAGCATTCTTGTCAGGTTGCAGGCTTTTTGGAGGGCGGTGGACAAGCAATGTGGCTTTTGAAGTTATTGGATCTGGGACAATCGAGAGTGCAATCCAAAGAGTGTCGCAGCTGGCCAGTCCTCCATCTCCTGCCTAAGCCGTAGACGCTCCGCTTTGTCCGCCACTTGCTCGAAAGCAGACAGTGATGTCACGTGACGAAGTGCTCCTGCGCTACCAGCAGCTGCCGGCGCAGGGATGTCACATCTGCCCGAAAACTGCGACATGAGTGATGCAGGATACTGCCGCCTTACCGCTCGCCATCTTTAGCCAAGTGACCTTCATTGCTGCCTTCACTCCGCTCCACGGGGGCCGGAGAAGCCTGAAAGAACAAACAGCTGTCCATGCGAATCAAAGATCAAAGAAGCCATGACGTGCAACATCTTGGAACAGAAGGTGGCACGTTGCTGCTTAGACCTGCCATCTTCACACTCTTTAAGCATCGTGCGTGCCCAGATCCGGTTGTGGCGTCACTTCTGCAAGGCGTTGACTCCGACTGCAAGGATCGGGGAAACTGCTTTCCACTGCACTGCGTCCATGTGCATATGAGATGAACGATGCACTTCAACTTGTCAACAAGCACCGAAGAGAGACTCTCTGATTGCGAGCTGTTTCAACTACACGGTACAGCAGCACACGGGAGCACTTGGACCAAGACAACCCAGTAAGGTGCCTCTTTGATGTCGGTAGTATCCGCTGATTCTGCAGACCTTTGTCAACACGAGGGTTCGGAGCTAGCAGCAATCTAGCGAAGCGTCGAAGACTGGGCTCCCCCGAGCCCGCTGCCCTCCGGGCATGCGCAGCAGAGGTACTGGTGCCTGTGATGGCTGCACCGTGCTCCTACTGAATCTGACTTCGTTCTGGCGTGCTCCTGTTGCAAAGATTGGGATTACTGGAGGGAGCTTGACACTCTGGTGGTTTGGGGCCTTGGGGCCTTCTGGCGGCTTCCATATGATATGTACCGATGCTACTCATGCCAAAAGTCTCAACCCCGACCTGGCGGCTCTTGAGCAGTCCCACAGGCTCTCCTTAGGTGATTGCACTCTGTGGAAATGGAGTCTCTCGAGGTCGAACCCACAAGCGCCCGCGAGCAAAGCTCTCTGAGAGCCCATCTGCGCGGCAAGCCTGCTTCTCCAAGGCAGGAGAGCTTGCTCGAGTTTTTTTGCGCAGCTTCTCAAATCAGACAGTAAACGACAACCCAGGAATGTTCGAAGGCTTGGAAGTGCCAAACACGTAGCTGGCAACAGGAGGCCTCGGTCACTAGCTTCTCCCCAAACCTTCTCGTCACCTTAGCAGTACTGCTTGGATGATGGGTGGACCTTCGTCAGGTCAGTGTCAGGCTTCTACAGAGTCCGACCACTTGGGCTCAAGCCCTTGCAGGTCTCTGTCTGGATGCCTGATGTTGATTGACGCACCATGCTTCAGAGATCTTTACACAGCCAGATGTGACATACTGAACTGCAAATGGTGATCTGACAGCGTCTAGGCTGAGCAGTACTCATCTGAGATGACGATCGACAAGCCAGGTGCAACTAAACTCTAAACGGCGGACCGCACTCCGACGTTTGTGCCCTTGTTCGGGTACGCTCGGGGAGGGCAATGGTGATGAACTGCACGGTGCGATCCTAAGTCGAGCAATCATGTGCAATGTTTCGGAAGTTACTGTGCAAGCTGGAATAGGGTTTGGCCTCATGGCCTTATAGTATGGTCACAGGCGTCGGGGTGCCGGGACACCATGGGATACCCAGTCAGGCCCACAGTAAGGCCACCGCCCAGGTCCAGAGCACTCTCTCCCCCGCCTGGACTCTTTGGACTCTTGCGAGTTCAGGAAAATGTTTGACAACGCTTGATTGCAGCTGTGCCTCCAGGAAAATGCCATCGCCTTCACGGAGTGTAATGTTCTCCTCTCCCTTTTGCAACCTTACACTCCATCCGATTGCCCTTCGAACTGAGATAGGGCATCAAGCAAAGAGAACACAAGAATCTGGCACCAGAACCAGATGCAGGAAAACATACAAAAGGATACCCGGCACAATGACTTGCATGCTGCAGTCTGGGCACCGGAATTCCCCTGTCAACACGACCAAATACTCATCACAGTCCACCATCTGGGGCTCCTGATCATTTGAATTTGAAGGCAACGTTGCGGTGTCAGATGCAACCGGAACATTCTCAAATACTATCAACTATCAGATACGATCACAAGCACAAGAAAGCACTGCATGGCCTTGCCAGATGGACGAGAGCGTGCAACTCGAAGGCCCCTAGCACTCTCACTTGTCGAACAGACTTGTCGCGGACATGTTTCGACCCATGTGCCTGCAACCCCACACACACAGGCGACAGCTTGCCTGGAAGAGCTCTCTTCTTGGCTGGATTTGCTCTGTGCGATGCCAAGGAACTCTGCAAATGACAGCCTCACACAAGGGCATATTCATGAGATTCGGCCTGTGACATCCTGTGACCCCGATAGGCACACCAGGTACCTGACAAGCTGCACTCAGGCTGTCTGAGAGTCTGGCGAAGCGCTCGAGACGGCATCGGTTGCCTACAGTACCAACACAAACGGCAGGTCAACAGGTGAAGGTCAAGCAAAGAAGCCAGTTCGTCCACAGGCTGCACCTTCCTCCGCCGATGAGGAGCTTCCACCCGATCTCGCTCCTGCGATACAGGGCCCCGCGAGAAATTCAGAATGCCTTCTGCCCTTCTTTGCCAACATTGCCATTCATGTTCATTCGTTCTTTGCTGGCGCTCCTTCTGGTCCACTCGGGCCTTGATACTGTCCACTCGAGAGCTCATGTCTGCCACCAAAGACCTACAAAGAGTGCCACGATGTGCCGGCGATGCTTTGAAAGGCCGACCAGATTTGGCACATCGAAACCGTCCAAACCATCGAAACTGCGGGGGAGGGTCTTTGCACCTGAGACTTTGCTGCGCCGGAGCAGTCATCGTCACCTTCAACGAAATGCGCATGCTGTGAAAAAGCGGCTCTGGCTTGCGCCGTGCTGCGATCTTTCGGGGCCTGCTTGACATCCTCGGCCATATCCAGATCGTCATAGTCGAACATCGGGCCTGAAAGCGAGCATTCGAGCGAAAAATGCAGAAAGTGTTGAGTCCTGGAAGATCTTAATGCAACCTGCCCGGGGTTGAGCCGCTGTGAGTGAACCTGCTTCTTGTTGTTCAGACAGTCCGAACGTTTTGTATCCTTATCGGGGAGGCTCCACGATTGATGAGCACCAAGCATGCAGTCAGTCTTACCACCTCAGATCAGCTCTTAGAAATCCTGCACACCTGTTAGCGAACCACGGTCCATTGTCTTACCGTAGTCACAAGAGATGTCAACTTGGCCATGCCTGCTCCAACCACCCACGGCTAAGTATCCAGTGGGAGCTTGGACCAGGAGGATGTCTCACATTAAGGAAGTAAGGACTGACTAAGCATTGACCAAGCATTCCCATCCAATGATGTCTTGAATCTTACTTGAGGAAAACATGCAAACTTGCCAGGGGGTCATCATGCACGACTTTATCATCTCGCGATGCTGATAGTTCGTCGAGTTGGAGCCCAAAGTTCTCAGCGGCTTGCGCGCGAATACAAGTACTTTCAAGCACATCACATGAGATTCGAACATCAAGAACCCAAGTCAACAATAATTACATCAAAACACAAACCATGGCGAGCCAACCTGCATTGATTTGCCTGCGCTGCCACAGCAGGCAGCCACACCGAAAGCCCTTGGTTGCGGCACGTTCATAAATCAGGATGCTTACAAGACCGTTTCCCATGTCCTATCAAGACTGATTGCATCGGCCACCATCACCAAATGCAGAGCGCGGCGCCAAGGCCCAGCGCACACCCTCGCCGCGCTCGCGCCGCAGTATCTTGGACCCTCAGCGGCCCAGCTGCTGAGGCCACTGAGGGCGCTGAGGGCGCTGAGGGCGTGCGGGCACCATGGCACAGCATCAACGAGCTCAGTCCTACTTTGTCGAAACAGTTCCACAAGCGGCACACAGCGACGAAGATGATCTCATATTTCACATTTGGGCGGTCTAATACGAAGAGTGACACGAGAGGGCTTTGAGATTCTGGGATACCAAGGCTACAAGGGTGAAGAAAGCGGGTCTGATTCATCATCTGCTCATTGCTTGAACCTATGAGCATGCAGACCACTTGTGGCGCAGATTCCGATGCCCGCAAGCTTCACAAGCTGTGGAAGCTGCCCACCAAATCTTTGCAAAGCTGTCGCACCAGTTTGTCCCACAGCGTCATGTTGACAGGCAGTGGCACAAGAGCTAACGGCATCTCAAGTAGGCATCGGTAATCGCGGATGTGGCTTCAACACGGGATGCCTCAGCGCCCATCAACTACCTAGCTGCCTATCTTGTGTTTCGGGTCGCGCCCAACATCCAGTTCACAAGTCAAGGAACGATTGGTAGTGCCTGATTGCTCATGCATCTGAAAGAAACCATGCATACTGACATGCTGACATGATCTCTATCCCTACATCATACATCCATTTAGACGTAGCGTCGGACGCAGGTGTGACTAACGCTAACGTCGAGAACGTTGTGGGCACACTCTGCGCATCTCTACGCCGACCTTCACGGAACTCAATCCTCATCACGTCGAAAGCTGTTTCACCGTGCAATCCTTGTGGCAGTTCAGGAGCGGGAGCTGCTTTTGCTAGTGGTCAGCTTTCTGCTTTGTCTGACGAGTTTCCACGGCCATGGGCCTTTCAAACGCTGCAAGGACGTGCGATCTTCGGGGGACGGTTTGTCTGCTGCTGCTGCTGCTGCTGCTGCTGCTGCTGCTGCTGCTGCTGCTGCTGCTGCTGCTGCTGCTGCTGCTGCTGCTGCTGCTGCTGCTGCGGCTGCGGCGGCGCTCGGGAAGCTGAACGTGGTCCGCCTCGCCTTCCACGGCGTGTGGCATAATCTGAGTACTCTTGCTTGTGGGAGCACAAGGCACTTTAGTTGTGTACCGCTCACCAATTCCGCTGGGAAGGGTAATTTGGCTTCTGTCTCGAGAGCCGAAAACCATTGCTATCCCATCCATTCAAGCCCGAATCAAACAAATCCAACAAATCCAAGTCAACATGAAGCCCAGACATCAGGAACCATAGATCTTGCGGTCTTGTGGCTGCGGATCTAGAAATTGCTCACAGCATTTCGGAGAATACCCACACGACGCTGAGAACTAACCCACCGCCTCCTAGGCATCATTTGGGTGTAGGGCCTCTCTCGTCGCCTCTGCTGATGCTGGAGCATCTTTGCGTTCGGTCCAAGCTCATTTTGGGGGGGTTACGTCATGTTTCCCTACTGGACATGTTTGGGGCATGTTGTGTGTGGAGCGGCGGAGCGGCTGCTGCTCCAGACGACCGACTGACAGGTGTTCAGATGAGCTGCACAAGATTAGCAGAGTACGTGCCGATCTCTGGCTCAATGATGAGGGCCTCCAAAGGGTTCTCATGCACTTCCCATGACGCACAATGTGACAAACATATCACAAGCATCAGACATGGCACATACATGTCACAGGGAGAGCTTTGGAAAGCACAAAAGGCACCTCTCGGGGCTGTCTGGCCTGCGATGGCTTCCAGGCCCTGGACATCATCTCACGCATCGGTTCCTCCTATTGTTGAGCTTTTGCCCTCCTACTTTCTTCTATTTTTTCTCTTTCTTCTTCTCGGGCCTTGAGGACGTCATGAGCAGCCCGCGTGGCGCAGCTAGCCGCAGGCTGTTGCGAGGCTCTTTGATGCCCTTAGCAGAATCAACTGGCGAGGGCCGCAAAAGTGCAGCAATGCCAGGATTGCCAGGCCCCATGCTGGCACGGCCAGGAGCTGCTCACCCGCTAAGCAACGCTGTTTTAGCGTTTCTGCAGGTCCCAGTGGGACTCCTTCGACACACCACAGAGAAGCAAAGAGACACACAAAGCAGAGACCTGTGGCCAACGTTGGCTCCTCTGTACACGAAGCGGACTTCCACGTCGTCGCGCGACTTTGGAAGCATCGGCTCGCGGTAGAACTTTGCAAACCTCTTTGCTTCCTCAGCTGGCACCCGTGAAATGAGAGTGAGAAGAGAGAGAAAGAAAGAAAGAGAGAGAGAGAGAGAGAGCGAGGGAGAGGGAGGGGGAGAGGGGGAGGGAGATCTGGCATGTGGGTGTGCATTGGAAAACCCAAGGGTCAAGAAGACCTCGGCGTATGTCTTCAGGCACCGCATCTTCACACAGCTGAAGCTCGTAGCGGCCCTGAGGTTGCACATTTAAGGCTGGCATTAATGGGTCCCTCCCAGCACCTTGAGATTAAACGGATTACACGGATGAACAGCTTGCCTTCCTCGGCGTCACCACCGTGATGCGCACCATTCCCTGAAGAGAGGATGCATGGAAGAGAACACGATCGAATATGTCATCCAACACGATATGCTGCAACATGTTGCAATACACTGCCAGCAGTGATCCTCCGGAGGCGGCGGCGGCACTGCCAAGTGTGGCGGACGCGTTGGTGGCAAAAGTCCGGCACTGTGATGATTCGCACAAGCCTCCATTGACCACAGGACATTTTCTGCCCACACAGTTTGGTCCCGTATTGCGCCTGCTGCATCAGTGTCTGAGCTGCACGTGGAATGGGATTCAACGCATTCTCCTTGGAAGGGCTGTCACTCCAGACTATCGAACACACGACAGCCATAGGCACCTCATGTAATCTTTCATGGAATTCACCCCTGCTGGGTTAGGGACATCTTGGTGTGCGCGTGGCCATTTGCCAGAACATGCAACAGACATGATTTCGAGTCACATGCTTGGTTCATGAATTTCGTGAACCTTGTGCAACGACCCAAAATTACAAGACCATGTGCTGGTCACTTCTGCAAGTGGTTCGAATTACTTGGCACGAGCTATGCGAGACCGGCGTCTGCAGCCTTGAGCAGGTATCCGGAAATTGAACGGCCTGTAAGAAGCCTGAGACAGGAGCACTCAACCCCTAGCCATACTCAAGCCAAGGCCTCGGGCACAGCTAAACTTTTTCGGGGCCAAAAGACTCACTTCCAGCGCTTGGATTCGAGTCTCACCACTGGGTCGCATCGTCAGGCTCCTTAGCAGCTAAGCAGGGTCTGAGGCGTGTCACAGGAAATTCACGACAGCCCTTAGCTTGTCAACCTCAGAGAAGTCAAGCAGCGGAAGCCAGGCGCCTCGCAAACCACCCACATAACAACCGCCACCCCCCCCCCGTCCCAGCCCTCAGCCTTCACAAACTCACAGGAGACTTTTTGCAAGATTTCCCAGGACTCCGCGCCTCTTGGTTCCTCCCAACAGTGTGGAGATCAGAAAGCCTCGCTTCTTTGGCACAAGGACTTCTGGCTCCTGATCGAGAGCATCTCACTCCAGTCTGCCGACCATGCTGAATTCCAGATATTCTTCTAAACTTCTCGGCAAGCGAGTATCCTCCTCTTCTTTCACATCGTCCTGATATTCAGAAGCTGCGCATCAAAGCATTACTGGGGCAGCTGCCTATGCGGCAGGCCTGGAAGGCGTGCTCGAGAGCCTCCGTTGCTTCAGCTTCCAACTCCACCTCCACAGAGACCTGCATCATATCAAACCATGCTTTCAAGACCCCAGCAGCCCCTGCGCCACGCCTCTACCATGTCGAGGTCGTCCTGGTCGGGTCCGCGGCCCACTTGAAAAGCACCAACTCAATTTGCTGGATTTGATTTGCACGGGTGAATGCGTGAGTCCTCCACGGAGGGCTGTGAAGCCTCTGGTTGTGACGCCAACTGTCCTGCAGCCTGGGTTTGGCTCGGGGCTCCAGCATTCCAACATATTCCAACAATCCAGACTTTCGCCTTTCTCTTCCCGGCTGCTTTGCCAAGCGGGGTCTCTGCACCTGTCAGAAACAAAATCGTTCAACCTGTGCCTTGTCGGGCCTAGTGCCCCTTGCGGCCCTTGCTGCCCTTGCACATGAAGGTTTGCCTTGCCGGTCGGCGGAGGCTAGCACTGGCCGTTTGCCTCGGTGATCGCTCAACATCGCTCCACATTTACAATAGTTGTCTTCGAGCGAGACTTCGCGAAACTGCATATTTCAACTGTCCCGCAACCTTCCATCAGCCATAATGCTTCACCTGAACCAATGCAAACACATGCAACCACACGACTCAGGTGCGTCCAAGGCACCCTTGCCACCTCTCGTCGTCACACCTCGCTGTTGTGTCGGAAACAGAGCAAGCTTTCCACCCTCCTCAAGAACAGCAAAAGCTGACCTGTGATAGCGTGGGAGGCCGGCGTTTTGCCTGACGCAATGGTTTGGGTAAAGAATATCAGATCTCTCAAAGCTCAAAACACATTGCATCAAAACCATCGACCATCTAGACGAAACAGGCCTTTGCCTTTCGCCATCAATACCTTATAGATCGGGAAATCAAAGCAGGGCGTGCAAGAACACCTGAATATTGGCTAGGATGCACTGCTTCCCTGTTTGGCTTTCTGGCCCTTTCCGACCAACTCGGCCCGGACTCCCTTGTAAGCACCTTGTCTCAAGACGCTTCTTGAAAAAAAACGCACTCAGCGCTTTGCTCACACGCGGACTCACCCGCCTTTGCGGCCTTTGGGATCAGCAGCCTTGCCGGCCTTGCCTTTACCCTTTCCTTGAAAACCACCTGGAATTGCTGGGACAATGCTTGATTCTCTTCACACCACATGCAAAGCAGCACCTTTGCCACCTTTGGCGGCCGCCAGCTCTTCCGGCGATGGCGCAAGAACAGTCTGGCAGGGTTCAAGAAACAAAAGCTGAGGCAGCCTTCAGACGACTTCAAAAAGGTTGCAAGAAAGGAAGAGGCTCTCCACACAAATTGCACAAGCATTTTTAGGTTTACAAGCCTCGTCTCTGGTTACATCCTCCACCGTGTATCTTCCTGGGCCTGCTCCTTCGAGAACCCGAAACCTCAAAACACTGAATCGGAAGTCAACGAATGGCGGCATCTTTGCGGCATCTTTGCGGAATCTTTGTGCTTAGCCTCCGGCTGATCAGGCCTTGAAAGAAGGAACTTGATGTAGGAGCCCAGGTGGGGCTGCCAGCAACACGGCAGCGAGACGGCAGCGACACAGCTCTCCTTGCTTTAGCCTTTTCACTGTGTTTCAAGGTGCCTTGAAAAGCTGATCCCAGTCCTGCCAGAGCTTCAAACGAAAATCCCGCACCAAGAGGTGAGGAAAAGAAAGGAGTCCTGGGGAACGAAGGGGCGACCGTCCGATTGCACTCCAGGTTGTCTGAGGCCCTTCTTGACGCGACAAATTGCCTGAAGTCGCTGCAGCATCTACAATAGTAGAGTCGATCCCGAGTCTGCCATCTGAGGCCGAAGCTTTGCAGGCCAGGTCGCGCAAAGCGATCTCTGCCCGACGTCTCACGATGAAGGGTTCGCCTTAAAAACGTCCGCATCAAAGCGGGTCCAAAGCTCGGTTGCAGCAGAATCAGATCAGCGTTGGGCGATCGGAATGCGGAGCTCGAAACCTCAGTTGTGCAAATGGAGGTGCTCAGTCGTTGGACTCTATTACAACATCTTGCAAACCTCTTGAAGCAGTCTGCCCGTCTCAGCCGGTTGGTGTACTTCCACCGAACCAGCTTTGGCCCGACTTCTGTCTTTGTCAATGTTCGGTTCGGTGGTTTGGCGTGTTGTCGTGTTTGCATCCTTGCAAGCTTTGCGTGAGCTCGTCGACCTTTGCCGCAATGTTATGTGTTGCTGCTTATGTCAGCTTGCCAGACCACATTGGAGATTTCACTGGGCTGGGGGCTTTCGTGAGCTAAACGTAGATGGCCGGTGATAATTCAATTCAAGCTTTGCCCGAACCCTCGACAAAAGAATCGACTGCGCACGGACGGAAGAATTCAACCGGAACTCGGAAAAAAAACGAGAACTCAAACAAACTCTTGGTCTTGGACGTTGTTGTCGTCATGCCTGGCACGAAACAAGCAGTGTGCCTAATGTGCCAACTTGGCATGGCCCGACACTGCTCGCAGGCCTTGACCCCAAACCCTGAATGCTGAACTTGAAACTATTACTACACCGTAACGCTTCGCTCTGAGGCCCTAGCCTACACCCCAAACAGACTTTGCCAATATTGCATATGTGTGTATCTTGGAAAGTGCCCTGGTGCTACAAGAAATGCTGTTGTCTGAAGGGGCGGCATAACGGCGGGAACAAGCCGCCTGAAGGAACTATGTAGAGCAGGACTTATTGCAACACTTTGCAACTTTGGATATGACCGCACTAAACTTTGCGCCTCATTCCGAACGTTCTTGGTGCAAAGCACAGCAAAACGAATGCTCGGCATCCAAAACCCTGAAAGTGTGCGAAAAACTTCTGCCAACCATTGCTTGCAACAAACACATGCTTGAAAACATGCAATATGTTGGGAGGGCCTCACATGGAGCTGTGCACACGTTGATCTTCAGCAGCATTATTGCCCATGGCTGGCTTTGAGATGCCTTTCAAAGTGTAACACAACAACAAACGCACACAACAAGCAAGTTCGCAAGCGTAGTTGCATTGCTTATTGACAGCAACCTGCCACCGCATTTTTGCGACATCAAACATTCGATGCACATGGTTGTTCTGATTTGTGTCTTCAAGCATACATGGATTGCGGCCATTGATGGTTTCGGACTGTCGCACTGCCGGCTGCAAACTTGCACTTACATACCTTGCATGTTCAAAGGTGCATGCGTGTCGTATCCATTTTTGCATGACACAAAAACATACAAAAGTTTTTTTTAAGGGTTGTGTCGCGGGCAGGCTAACAAGGCCAAACATATCTCTGGACCCCATTTTGGACATCATTATCCTGAAAAGGCTGTATATAAAAAAGTAAACACCAAACCCCCAGCACTCAAACGATTTGACAGGTTTTTTTAGCGATCCGGCTGAGGGCAAAATTTTCTTTCTTGGCACTTGGAAAACCTGCAAGCTTATGGAATGCGCAGAAAACCAAGAGGCAACCAAGCGCAAATAACATGACTGTGGGAAGTGTGTGGAATTATCCGCGCCTGAAAGGAGGATGCAAGCAAAACCAACATTCCGAGGCGCGCGCACGGGCCAAGCGCTTGAGAGCGAACTGGGGAAGTGTTTCGAAGCAAGCGTCGTGCAAAATGGCCAATACCTGCGTGTCTCGGTCAGTGACCAAACCAGACCTCTGAAGACGGCAAGGCAATCCAGCCAAGGCCTTAAGGTTGGTAGGCGTAACATGCGTAGCACAATAAAAAAGCGATGAAACAACCAACGCCGGCAGTCTTTGGACCGTTAGCCACTCGAACCCATGTAACACCAGTGGCAACGTGGCCAAATTTCCCCTGCCAATATTCCCCAAGCAACGTGTCTTTGTCCACTCCACACGCAGTCAGCATTTGCTGCAAGCGCACGCTACATCTGTAACGGCTTCTACACAACAGTATGGCGAATCAAACGGAAACACTACCACGATCACGACCACGACCACGACCACGACCACGACTACTAGGTCGCGCGTTTGTAGGAGGCCGTGGGTACTTTTAGTACATTCGCTTGTTGTCATAGTCCGAAAGTGAGCACCTTGTCGGTGTTTCGCGCGTTTGTCAGCGAGAACAGCGATCATAGACGTCCCGGAAAACTACTTACGGTCATGGATTTGCGGTGTGTTTAGGATTCAGGACTCGGGATTTTATTGTTCCACATCCTTGTGCCGTATGTTGAACAACAAGCAACAACGCTGTACGTGCAAGTGCTTGGAGCATAATACGCGGTAGATACCAGTGTTTTGGG